AACAGCTTTGCTAATGGAAGCATCAATACTATTTCTCAGCACTGGAAATGAAAGCAGGCTCCTGCAAGATTCTCAGGGTCAACGGCCCAAATGTCACAGAGAAAAATCACAGCCAGGGAGCTGATTACTCTGTGCTTATATAAAATGGCCTCTGACATGCCCCAAGGTGGCACACTTAATAAATTCACTCATTTATATCGCAGGAAGTGGTGGATAAATGACAAACCTAATGAACAGCAGTAGTAATATAAAGTAATCAATTTTGGAATTACTTTTAAAAAAAGAAATTGCAACATTTATTGTTTTAAGCCTTGGAGCAAGCTCATGAGATTGATCTTTTATAGTTTATACTTGGTGTGCAGTGTAGTGAGGTCATTTTCCACTCAGATATAATCCCAAGGCAGCCATACAGATACATGCAGCACTTCCAATTTGTAAGAAGAATGGGATTATGAAGGGGTGCTGAATGTGGCAAAGTGGATGAAGGTAAGCTCCATGAACAATTGTCCCATACACCCATTTCACGTGGGGAAAACTAAGACACACAGTATCGTAGAGTTTTTTAAAACCCATCTTGTTTTTATTCTATCATAAGGAGCCCAAATCTTTCATAATGTAAATTAAATGCACTTTTTTTTCATTTCCCAAATATTGCAGGGAAATATTGCTTGTCTGCAAACCTCCTGGATTGTAAATGCTTTATTTGTTTTAGCATTATATATCTGATTGTTGTAACCTGACCCGGGAGCTTATGGTAATGGGTGGATAAGGAATCTAATAAATGCTGGTACATACATACATGCATGCATGCATGTATGCAAGGTAAGTAGGATAATGTTCATTTTATGCCACGTTTTGAATCATAGCTGTCAAGTTGCTGACAAAGAACTAAAATATGAAAAAGCCAACCAAGGTAAGTACAATTTTGATACAAAATGCTATAATTTATTTACTGCTATTTATTTATTTACATTGGTGTAAATAAGAAAGCATTAGGTAAAGATTTACTTGATTTTTTAAGAGTAAAATGATATTTTAGGATGTACTTTTGGTGATAGAGTACATATGGAACAATAAGATTAGTATTTAGAAAGTTTATTTCTGTTTTTGTTGGTGCTGGACTTCACTCAACCTCAATATTTATTAACCATTTACTGTACAGGAATGCATTTAATACATATACCATATCGCTGCGTTGGATGCAGCGTTGGAGTAGGACCTGGGGGAGCAGAGCTCAGATCCCCACTCAACCACATAATTCACAAGTTGACCTTGCACCTAGTCACAGTATCTCAGCCTTGTGAGGATATAATGGGGAGACCACATGCCTCACCTTCAGCTCACTGTAAGAAGGTGGGATTTAAAAAGGGGGAGGGGGGAGGGAACTACCGTATTTTTTGCTCCATAACACTCACTTTTTTCCTCCTAGAAAGTAAGGGGAAATGTCTGTGCGTGTTATGGAGCGAATGCCTACGGATGGCGGGGGGATCTGCTGCAGTCGTGAGCAGAGGATCCATGGTTCCCCTTCCTTCCCTCCTCCGTGGCTCGCTTTGCTCGCTTTGAAACAGCAAAGCGGGAGAAGAGCCACTGAGTGGGGAGAAGAGAGGGACAGAGAGCCTGGTTACAAAGCACGAATCCACATGGATCCTCAGGATTTTTGCACTGGGTCACCCCAAATTCACCATCAGATCACATAGCATGTCCATGGCTACAGCTTGCACCCAAAAAATCACACACCCACTGTTGCCTGGGGCCGCAGTGGTGCAAAAACGTGGCTACAAAGCATGGATCCACATGGATCCTCAGGATTTTTGCATTGGGCTACCCCAAACTTACCGTCAGATCACATGTCTGTGGCCACAGCATGAACCACAAAAATCATACATCCACTGTTTCGTTTAGAATATTTTTTTTTCTTGTTTTCCTCCTCTAAAAACTATGTGCGTGTTTTGGTCGGGTGCGTGTTATAGAGCGAAAAATACGGTATATAATATGAAGGGAACAGTCCCAGACTCCAAAGAACAGGAGCTGGGAGGCCATTGGGTACTGCAGACCATTCCCTAGTTGGTTTTGGGGGCATTGTTCTCCTTTACTGTGAATAAGCCCTTTTTTGCTGGGCTTCTCTGCTCTGCCTTGGTTTCTGTTCTCCCCACCCCCCTCCCCAGTACAGCTTCTCAACAGTTAGGTTTCAATCACTGATAGCTGAAGTTGAAATGTCAGCATGCCGGATGAGGAGTTGTCTGGTGGAAGGGATGGGATGGTGTGCAACGATAGGATGGAATCTGTGGTACAAGAAACCCAGTCACTTCCTGGAACAAAATCATTCTGTAACAGATTTGAGGTTTGGGGCCCTGGAAAAGTTGCAAACAGATCTTGTTAAGGAAATAAATGGAATACTTATGGAGGCTGAAGCCTATACCCTCCTGTTCTTCTTGGGTTTATTTAGAGTTGAAGAATTTCTTCCTCTCTTGTAGGGTTTAAGATTTGGAGACATTCCCTTGGGCTTTTTTGCATTGTCGTGTTTTATAAGTTAAAAACCTTAATTTCTTATCACATATTAACAACGCCCAGCCAGTGTAATGTGTTTTAATCAGTATTGTGTTTTGACCTTTGTACCATAATGGAACAGGGAAGTTTTCCATCTGGGCTGGTGAAAATTAGCTTAACTGTATTGTGGAACTTTGACAGCTATGAGTTACAATTCTCAGTATGCAAAGTAAGGATAATAGGCACATATTCAATTGGTGGGTGCAGGTTTAGAATAATTTGGATAATGTGGTTGGATGGAGTTAAGACTACTGGGTGGTGGGGAGCAGAAGTGAATTTATGGCTGGGTGCCAGTCAATCTGCTTCTGTCCATGTTGATTAGTGATTGGTGTCTGTGGTAGACAGCCAGAAGAAGGGAAGACAACAGAAGAAGAGGATCTAGGAAGACAAAACAAAAACAAAACTGAAAGGCAGAATGGTACAATCCTCCTTCAATCATCAGAGCACTATATCTGGAGCCTCAACCCTCAGCTCTCCAAAGGCAAAGACATCCTCTTTTTTAAAGTTTAAGAATAGCAGAGGAAAGCCAGGAGCCTACTTAATATGAATTGTTTTCCCATATAAAATATATGCATATATATATATATATTCTTGTTGATTGTTGTTAAATTGCTTTGAGGTGTTTTAGGAAGTAGTTCATTAATGGAATTGATTGAATAAAAATAATTGGAACCTCATGCTGACTGACGCTAGATAGGTGCAGATGAATGGGTGCTAGAGAATAGGCCAATCTATGGGCTTCTCCTTCTGCAACAGGACAAGCCATGACCACACAGAGGCTGCTTGATGCCTGGCTATCCCATGGTGTGGCTCCTGCACATGTGAGGACAACAAATAGAATCAAGCGGTGTAAATGGGGTACAACATTATACTGCTTAATATTGAAATTTTTGATTGCGTAACCTGCCATGGGACCTTATGGTGCTAACCCAGAAATATTACCTCGGGTTAAGAACTTTGCTTCAGGATGAGAACAGAAATCGTGCTCCAGCAGCAATAGGAGGCCCCATTAGCTAAAGTGGTGCTTCAGGTTAAGAACGGTTTCAGGTTAAGAACGGACCTCTGGAACGAATTAAGTACTTAACCCAAGGTACCACTGTACTGCCTTTATAATAATCAGATCATGGTGCCTTACCCTGACACAGGAATGTATGAAGCTGGCTTATCCCGAGTCACAGGGCTCTTCAGGCCCCTACCGAGAGATAACGGGTCTTGAACCTGGGACCATGTGCTTGTAAGGCAGAGGCTTTACCACCTCACCAGTTGCTCTGGCAAAGAAACTCAGTTTATGCAATCTGAACTCTGGTGAACTGAGTTGGCCTCTCTCTGCAGAGAAGCCATAAAGTATCCCAGCTGTGGCTAGAATGGGCTGAACCTCTGTGATCTGCACTGACAGGAGATTGACTCAAAACACACAGAGCAGCAACAGTTGTTGGCAAGAACATCTGGTGCGCTTTGGTTTATGAACTGAACCACGAGTTCAAATGAAAACAAGAAGTTAATGTTCTGTGTCACCATGTACACTAGTGATCATGGTTTTGTCCTCACTAGGGCACATTGTTTCGATGATGGTGTGTCTTATCAATACAAAAGCACTTCCAGGTTTATGTCTCCAAAATCTATCTTGGTGTGTCCTGTCCACATTAGTGTGTAGTGCTAGATGGGATTGTTGGGGGAAAGCAAATAAACTTCCTTCTCCTGAACCTCTAGCTAATGCATGTATTACTTTAAACCACACAAGAGCACTGTTTGTGTAGCAAGCAAGCCAGCATTTGCTTGTAGTCTTTTTCTAAGTTAACTCCACCTATAAAAGCTGAACCATTTTGTTGTTCTCTCCTAATAAGATGCTATTGCTCTCTCTTTTTATCTCTACTCATCCTGTAAATCGTTCTTGCCAAGATAATTTTGTTCTTGCATGAATAAAGCAGTAGAAATCCAAAAACTATGTGTAAACTTCTCAGTCTAATTCACCCAAGCTGCAAGGTTTCCTAACAGGGATGCATTTGTGCTACGGCTGAGCTCCATTATGGACCTGCCTTCAAGTTTATTTCAATTTTATTTCACATTTGTGGGCATCTGAGGTGCAAGACACCTCCAGCCAAGCACTCAGAGTATACAAGAAGCTCTCCTGCAGTAACCTGGTCCTGAAAGCACCTTAGAAGCAGAACCATTTGCCTCAAGGCTACATTACAATGTTTGGCAGAAAAAAACCTGAACCCCTGGTTGTCTTACATCACAGACCTTGTGCACAGTAATGCTGTTATCATTGCCTTACTAATCAATGAAGAAAAAGGATACAGACTGAAGTTCAGAGAAGTTCATTTCTTGATTTTGCAATCTTATCTACTTAATGGTTAATCTCATTTACTCAGAGAAACCTAGAATTCCTATTGGTGAAAGTCCATGTATATGTGACCTCCTCAGAGTATATAAAATTGGAAAGCAAATTAATTCATCTAGAGTCATTTCAGTCACTGTTAGCTGGTGCCATGGAGCCTCTAGGGACAGTGACCATTTTGATGATCATATGTATCTCTTGCCTTGTTTTCCTTGCAGTCAGGAGCAGAACGCCAGAGAATGCAAAGCAGCTGCCACCTGGCCCACCTCCACTGCCCATCGTAGGGAATGCTCTGCAGCTGAAGACCAACAACCTGGCCCAGGTTCTCCAGGAGGTAAGCCAAGGATGAGCACCTTCTTAACAGCTGTCTGTTGATGACAGTTACCTGTTTGCAAGCCTCTTTCCATCTGACTCTTTTGGAAGGGGACAATCCATTGTCAGTTTGTTTATTTATAGATGGTACCATATGGGTGCAGGGCACATTTGCAGAGTATAAGGCAACAGACTCTGCACATTGACAGAGGAGAGGCAAGAGAGGGAGGGGAGGCATCCAGACCAGAAGAAAAGAATAGCAGAATCGCTGTGATTTCCGTGGCACGGACTTGCGCTTGGCTACATCAGCAGGGATGGGGAGCAGGGACTTGTCGCAAAGGCTCCACAGAAAAGAGGTGGACTTTGAGCAGGTCCCACAACTCCACAAAGGGGGTTGTTTTATTGTCATTTTATTGTTTTATCCTTAAAATAAAGCCCCTTTCTGAGTAAAGAAGTTTAAAAAGCAATAGTGCAATTTTCATACTATTTTAGAGACATGGGGCCGGGGGCGGGTCCAATTCTCCCTCCACACATGGATGGTTTGGGCATATTTGCCCTCTGAACATTTTTAGCCTCTGCTGGACAGTGGGGAGTCCATAGTCTTCTTGTATTTTGAAAAGCTGCTACTTCATTTTCCCCAGAATGTGCTCGGTTAGAAGATACTGTAAGAATTCCCTTAGAAAAATGAGTGGGGGGGGGGACATAACAGAGCAGTATAATCATATTCACGGTATAGAGAAAGTGGATGGGAAAACACTTTTACCCCCTCTCATAATGCCATACCCTCCAACATTTCTCCAATGAAAATAGGGACAGCCTAAGGACATTCTGTGATCAAACTGGGATGGCTTCTCTAAATCAGGGATGTCCCTGGAAAATAGGGAAACATGAAGGGTCTGTAAAACTAAAACTTGGAGCCTTCAGTTAAAGCTGAATGTTGGAAGATTTACAACACACGCAAGAAAGTAGTTCTTCATACAGTGCATATTGAAACTGTGGAATTCACTCCCAAAGAAGTAGCGATGATAGCCTCCAACTTGGATGATTTAAAAGAAATGTTCAGACAAAATTCATTGAAGATAAAGCTACCCATAGCTGCTAGCGATGATGCTGAACCTCAACCAGTTCCAGGGACCTGCAGGAGGGGAGTGTGCTATTGCACTCAGGTCTTGTTTTTGAGCTTCCCAGAAGAACTGTGTTGGCCACTGTGATAACAGTTGTGGACTAGTTGGCCTTTGGCCTGATCTAGCTGCAGATCTCTTCTGTATATTATTAAAAGTCATGTGGTTCAGATGCCCATAGTGCGTCTGGGGGCAGCGGGGCTCTACATCACCTATATGACTCTCTCCTAATCCGCAAACCCACCTAGATGTGTGTCTTTCTCTATCTTTTTTCCAGTTTGGTGAGAAGTATGGCTCTGTGTTCACAATGTATTTTGGAACAGAACGGGTTGTGGTGCTGCATGGCTATGATGCAGTGAAAGAAGCATTGATTGACCGTGGAGATGAATTTGCTGCCAGAGGACACCTGCCATTAGCTGATGATGTCAACAAGGGATTAGGTATTTTATGCTGGTTGACCAGTGGAGGGGGGACACACAGGAAAATCCCTCTATTCATGAAAATAATGCAACAGGTGGCGCCCCCCTGGGATGTGCATTGCCGCTGGCACCTGCCAGAAGGTCCCCTCCGCTGCGCTCCGCCTTACACCCAAGGGTGCTTATCCCTGCCCACGCAGGCCGCTCCAGGTACCGGAGCAGCTAGCTCCGCCTCTGGTCTAGAGCAAGCACCAAAAATTAAAGCAGGATTGAATGAGTCTCTAGCCTTTAAATATAATGGTCTGGGGTAATTCTGGTGTGGGCAGTAAGTGTGAGAGTTATGTGAGCAGAATTCCCTGGCCTGGATCTTGTGAATCAATAAACTCTCCACACCAAGAAAGAGTTTCAAAGTTACTCTAAGCTATCTTAAAATTTGTTACCAAGAAAATAAATAAATACAAATCAACACATTGCACTTAAACAACTAGCAATGTAGTCCAGTTTTCTTTAAGTTCTTTTTGGTTAATATAGTCCATGAACTATTGCTTCTTCATTATACTGGCAGCTTCAGAGAGAGACCCAGGCTCCAAGAGATGAATTATCAGTTAACATAAATATCGAAACATTGAGGCTCCTGCTCTTCCAACCTGCTTCTTCTGCTCTCCCTTTCAGTCCATCCATCTCCTTCATGCCCATTTCCTCTTCTGCTTTCCAGGAATTATATTCAGCAATGGGGAGATGTGGAAGCAGCTCCGACGTTTTGCCCTTACCACCCTGCGCAACTTTGGCATGGGAAAGAAAAGTATTGAGGAGAGAATCCAGGAGGAAGCACAGTTCCTGCTGGAAAAGTTCCAGGACACTCAGGGTGGGTAGCCACTGCCCCTCATCCACATAGACCTATCAAGCAGACCCCCTTGAACATCACAACAGATGCTGAGGTACATTACCACAGATTATTAACCACCAACTCATAAAGAAATAGCATGGTAGGTACAAGGAAATCATTAAAAAATTAAAATCGTAAAACACAGAACTAGTGACCAACACTGAATCAAATAAATTGCCTAAAAACACTTGTGAAATACAGTGGTACCTCAGGTTAAGTACTTAATTCGTTCCGGAGGTCTGTACTTAACCTGAAACTTTTCTTAAGCACCACTTTAGCTAATGGGACCCCCGCTGCCGCCGCACTGCCAGAGCACAATTTCTGTTCTTATCCTGAAGCAAAGTTCTTAATCTGAAGCAGAGTGCTCTGCAGATATTGTTGATTTCCAGCTGCTTTCAGCCCCAACAGTCATCAGTGGTCCAGAAGTTAGAGTCTAGCAGCATCTGAAGTGCTTTAGATTCCCTAGTTTTAGTCTAGAGTTCACCAAGGCCTGCACCACTGTGGTCACCCTTTCCTATCTAAGGATAGGAAGCTGGAGGAAAGCTGAAGCTGGAGGAAAGCACCTTGGAAAGTCCTTGGAAGAAACCACTCATAGCCACTGAAGATGCTCATGCCTCCAGAATTGTTGTGAGAAAGGCAGCTCCCTGTCTGACCACTGAGGCCAGGAGCCAGGAAATGGCAGCTCAGAAATTCCAGACTAGATTATTGCCTAAAACCTGTAGTGGGGTTGTATAATTATTTTTTTGATGTCCTTCCAGAGAAGCCCTTGGATCCAACCTACTTGCTCAGTTGCGCTCTCTCCAATGTCATTTGTGCAATTGTCTTTGGGAAACGATATGATTATAATGACAAGAAGTTCCTATCCATGATGAGCTTAATGAATGAAAACTTTCAGGTTTTAAGCTCTTCTTGGGGACAGGTAGGTGCTATCTTTTTAAAGGCCCTTTCCCACAAAGTCTAAATTTTCCTGCTGTTTAAATGTCTTTCTTCCAGGCTTCTCATGGCCCATACTGCCTCTGCCTCTTAATATTTCTGTTAATGTCCTAGTTGCAGGTTTGCCATGAGCAACTGGTTAGCCACTGTGACAGCACAATGGGCCACTGGCCTGATTCAATAGGCTCTTCTTATGTTTTTAATTTGGAGAGCCAATACCAATACCTGGGTCTAATAACCAAGGCTTGACTTAACTAAACAGCAGCTCGGTGGAATAGGAAGTAAAGCTTAACGAGTAAAACCCACAGGCTCAATACTGTAACCGGAACTAATCACTTGGGATGTATATACACTGTCATTGCCTCTGCATCCAATGTGCTTCCACTAATGGTTTGAGAAGGTGTGAATACATGATGTTAGTCACAATCGATATCTAACCTGCCATTTCTTATGAAAAGTTGTGCCTTGCTGAATTTTAAGCCAGGGATGTGTACACGGACTGGTTTCAGTAGGAGAAACAGATGGGACTACATTTAGAGATATGTATGTAATCCCATAGTTCAGTTTTAGAGCATTTGGCTTGTTTATATAGGGTCCCAGAGTCAATCCCTAGTAGCATCCCTGGTTAGGCATGGGACTTCTGAATGAAACCCAGCAGAGCTGCTGCATAGGCACTACTGACCTTGAGAGACCAATGGTCTCATTCAGTATATACCTTTTAACATGTGGATTTGGGGGGGGGGTAACTGGGTTGTTTTTATTTTGATTATGCATTTTGTGGTTCTATATTTTGATTTTAGTCTGCGAACCACCCTGGGACCTGTGGGTATAAATTCAATAAACAATAATAAAAAAATAATGATATAAGACAACTGATGGGGAACATCTACATAGATTTGGGAAGCATTGGTAGTGAAAATGCTGGTGTGTGGACAACAGAGTTGACATGAACACAAGGCAACAGTGGCCAACATTATACTGAAGCCCGAGTGTGGACAAACCCTGAGTGAGGTTGGTGCCAATGGGTCTCTTGTGTTTCTTCTAGCTCTACAACCTCTTTCCTTCTTTGATGAAATGCATCCCTGGGCCCCACCATAAAGTGCTGAAAAACAACTTGGCAGCCAGAGAGTTTGTTTTGGAGGAGGTTGAAGAGCACAAGCCCACTCTGGACCCCAGCTCACCTCGGGATTTTATCGACTGCTTCCTTATGAAAATGGATCAGGTAATCATGAAAACTCACAGACCTCTCCAAGTGGGTTCTCCTGCCACTCCTGAAGCTTCCCAACCAGCAGACTTCCATCCAGCTTCTTGTGGGGAATGCCAAGGAAAGAGATTCCTGCTCACACCCCATTGGAGTAGATTCATTTCCCATTGCTGACCTGTTCTTGCAGTAAGTGGGAAGTTCTTTCTAATGATTAGCCCTCTGGGCAAGGAATGTCAAGAGGAATGAGCTGTAAAAGGACTTGAGATAAGATGTTGTGTCTTGGGAAGGGAGCTGGTCCCAGTGGCACAGTTAAATTCTTGTTATGTTGTACTCAGAACAATTGAGTTGACTCCACTGACTGTGTTGTGTGTTTCTGCAGGAAAAAGGTAATAGTGCATCCCATTTCACCATTGAGAACTTGGCCATAAGCACAGTTGACTTGTTTGTGGCTGGAACAGAGACCACCAGCACCACACTGCGATACGGGTTCATGGTCCTCCTCAAATACCCAGAGATACAAGGTAAAATGGATGCGATATTAGTATTTATTATTCTAGTTCTCTCCTCGATTTATGAGTCACAGGTCCAAGAGGTTGTTGTTCTGCCACTTTCCCCAGGAAAACCCACTGTTCATTGCTGAATGTTAATGATCACTGACTGACATCAGCAGTAGACAGAAGGCTTTCCTGGAGAAAACGGGGGGGGGGGGGGCAAATGCTCAGACCCATGCCTAGTAATCTCAGACCTGTGCCTAGAAATCCCAGCAAAAACAGAAGTGTGGATGAGCTCTTATAGCTGACCATATTGCAAACCCCAGGATTTTATATACAAACAGTAACAACTTGAATTTGGCTCAGTAGTGTACTGGCAGCCAGTGCAGATCCTTTAGACAAAGGCATCACATCCTGCACCAGCTGCACTTTCTGTGCCAGCCTGAAGGGTAGCCCACAAAGGCACAACCACAAGGGCCAGGGGTCAAAAGGCCCTCAGGTAGGATCAGAATCACTGCAGGACAGTGCCTCCAATAGGAATCCCTCTAAGCTGGACCATCACTTGCTCCTAAAACTTCCCTAAAGAGGAGGCTTTTGTCCCTCTGGGCTCCTTTTGGATAGAAATTGAATTAATATATAAATAATTTCAGTTATACTATGTTTCCCTGTTTACGGATGGATTACTGAAGGTGAGCTACAATAATTTGTCTGAGTTAATGTGATGAGTCAACAGAAAGTTGGCATCAGAAAACATTGAAAGCTCTCAAAATGTGCAGGGGCTGGCAGGCACTCCCATGGAATTTCAATTGCTTCTATGATATTTCCTGCACTGGTGTTAAACCTCATTCTTCCCATTACAGACAAAGTGCATGAAGAAATTGACCGAGTTATTGGCCGATCACGAAGTCCTTGCATGGCAGATCGTGGGGAAATGCCTTACACAGATGCCGTCATCCATGAGATCCAGAGGTTCATCTCTCTCATCCCACTGAGCGTCCCTCATGCAGTACTCAAAGATACACCGTTCAGACAATATGTCATTCCAAAGGTCAGCTCTTTTCAAGTCTCTGAGTAGTAATAGTAGGCTGCTAGCCATGATGGCTATATTCTACCTCCATGATGAGAGGCAGCATACTTCTGAATACCAGTGGGTGGAAACCACAGGAATTGAGAGTGCTGTCTTGCTTAGATTATATTGAAGGGCTTCCCATGAGCATTTGGTTGGACAGCATGAAAACAGGATGCTGGACCAGATGGGGCCACTGGACTGATCCAGCAGAGCTTTTCTTCTCTTCTAATGTGCAAGCAAGGGAAGTGTTGTTTTTTAGTCGTTTAGTTGTGTGTCCGACTCTTTGTGACCCCATGGACCACATCACGCCAGGCACTCCTGTCTTCCACTGCCTCCCGCAGTTTGGTCAGACTCATGTTTGTGGCTTCGAGAACACCATCCAACTATCTCGTCCTCTGTCGTCCCCTTCTCCTTGTGCCCTCCATCTTTCCCAACATCAGGGTCTTTTCCAGGGAGTCTTCTCTTCTCATGAGGTGGCCAAAGTATTGGAGCCTTAGCTTCACAGTCTGTCCTTCTAGTGACCACTCAGGGCTGATTTCCTTAAGAATGGATGTGTTTGATCTTCTTGCAGTCCATGGGACTCTCAAGAGTTTCCTCCAGCACCATAATTCAAAAGCATCAATTCTTCGGCGATCAGCCTTCTTTATGGTCCAGCTCTCACTTCCATACATCAAGGCAAGGGAAGTAGTTTAGCCCAACTCCTAAAGTGTAGCTGGGCATCTTCAGGCCTGGACTTCATTTTAAGCACCCTATTGTCTTCTGAAGCTGCCCCATTCTTCTCTGTATCAACAAAGTACCTTCCTTCCTGTTAGTGCCTTCCCACACCATTCCTTTGTGAGAGTCAATTTTATGCTTTCATTGGGTGTCATGGCCATCCAGCCCATTTCTTTGCACTCTCTGCAGGGCACTACCATATATCCTATTCTGACGTCTGTACTACATGACAGCAAAGAATTTCCAAACCCCAAAGAATTTGACCCAGGACATTTCTTGCACAAAGATGGCACCTTCAGGAAGAGCGACTATTTCATGCCTTTCTCAGCAGGTAAGATCTCTGCTTCCCCAGTAGGCTGCGGTCTTGGCCAGCTCAGGTCTTTCCTGTCTCCCTAATTGGCTGGTGTCGGGGCAATGAGGGGGAACCTCCTTCCTCCTGCAGCCTAAACTGGAAGGGCTCCCAGATTGTGAGAGAGGGGCAGAGGCTTCTGGGTCCATCAGAACTCCTTGTACCTTTCCTGTGTCCAGCTGAAGCAAAAGAAATGGTGGAAAGAGTAACTCTCCCAGGAGCTGTTCTGGAGCAGCACCTTTGCTCCTTTGGCATGATTGTTTTTTTCTCCGTAACAGCCAAAGTGGTTGTTGTGCATCTAACACTTTGGGTTTCCTTTGCAGGGAAGCGGATATGTGTGGGGGAAGGTCTGGCCCGTATGGAGATCTTCTTGTTCTTGACCACCATATTACAGAACTTCACTCTGAAGTCCATCATTGACCCCAAGGACATCGATCTCACACCGGTGTTGAGCAGCATAGGCAACTGCCCTCGGCCCTATCAGCTTTGCATTGTCCCTCGCTGAAAAGCCTGCCTCAGTAGGGCTGCACATGTGGAAAAGTTGCAGCCTGGCAAATCTTTGTTCAAAAAACCCATAACACAATATCTCCTCAGGTGTGGAGCCGTATCTTCTTACCTGATTATTTGTTGAAATGTTACTTTGGGGATCCTGCTAGAGACTATTTCACGTTGAAGACATTATTGCAATGGACAAATAGCAGGATTTAGAAATTAGTCACACACAAAAATCCCATTCTTATCTTTCTTGCCCCTTCATATGCATATGTGTGACTGGTGCGGTGGCATGTCCTGCAGCCAGGGGTGTGTTGAGCGACCCATGGGGGTGGGGCAAGACTCTCCAATGCTTGGAGCCTCTCCGCCGCCTCCCCCTCAGCTGTAGGGCGTCTGAGGGAGAGGCAGTAGGCAGACACAAATCCCACGTTGCAGCGCGAAACTTGCAGGTGCCTAAGCCACCATGTCACTCCAAAAAATTTCATGAGCCCAATTTTTTAAAAACTCATTTTGTCACACACCCCTCAATGATGACATCCAGGGCAGACTGTACCCCCCCACCCCTTCCTCCACCACTGTATATGTGTGATGGGCAAAATCTGCCAAGATGTAAGCTTTTTAGCCACTGAGTCTTGTTACTCTTTGGGCTAAATGAAGCCAATCAGACTGGAAGGAACTGAGTCAACCACCGAGGAACTGGTGACCCTCAACGGTTGTTGGACTCTTGCTGGGGCAGATGGGGGCTGGAGTCCAGGAATATCTGAAGGGCTGCAGGTTCCCCATTCTTGCCATGAGGGCTCAGTTGGGACAACTCCCATAATCCCATTTCATTGGCTAGGTGGCTGGAGATAATGGGAGCTGCAGTCCAGCAGCAAATTCTCCAACCTTGACTTGGTGGGTTGAAGTGCTGCAGGCTGTAGAAGCTGGGTGGGTCAAGGCCCCTGTCTGAGATGACCTTTTGATTCCCTTGCATGTCCTACCCAAGATACAGCAAAGTTGTTTAACTGAGTGACAACATAAGCTTTTTTGGTAACCCTTCTATAGATCTGTACACTGAGATTGGCAGGTATGTCAATGCAAATAATAAAGCAGAGGCAGACAATTTTATTTGGAAAGATATTCCAATAAACTCAGTTTGGAGTTTCCCGGTGCTAGAACAAACTGTCTTTCACTTTCCGCCTGAGCTAAGAAGGAAAGTCTTTGGAGGGTGCTGCAGAAATCAATAGCTTTTAAAATCTTTACCCCTTTCAACTAGTAGAACATCCTTGAGACTTGACATTTACAAATGTTTGCCAATAATTCATTTAAGGGTAACCATGTTCTAAAGAACAGATAGCAATACTGGATGCAACTGAACTTCTGAGTAAGTATGGGAAATGAACTAAGTTCAGAGCATAGATGGGCAAGATCTCCCAAGCCTACCTTGGATGAACTTGGAAATCATCCAAGATCTTCCAGGGTAAGAAAACTATTTTTTTTCTCCTGAGCCCAACTGAGGCTATCACTGTATTTAAAAATCTAGAACTGAGAAAATAGCCCTCCCTCAAATTCTCCACTTACTTTGTGGGTGGCAAAATAAGGAAGGTCATTGTGCCGTTTGCCCTCCTAGGTGTGTGACATCATACTGGGTTCAAAAGGAAAGGGTCAACTAATTGTAAAATAACTAACCTATAGGAACCCAAGGGGAGAAGTTAGAGTTAGTGTTAGAGTTGTTAAGAAGTCAGTCTGAGTGTTAGAGAAGGGAGAGGGAGGATAAGTCTGTGGGTTGGGCTAGTTTGATGTGAGAACGTGAGAGAATCAGTTAAGAGGAGTCAGTTAAACCAGTGTTTCCCAACCTTGGGCCTCCAGCTGTTTTTGGACTACAACTCCCATCATCCCTCGCTAGCAAGGCCAGTGGTCAAGGATGATGGGAATTGTAGTCCAAAAACAGCTGGAGGCCCAAGGTTGGGGAACACTGAGTTAAACAGTTGGGATAATCAGTTAGAAGGTATTAGAAAGGTATAGGCCGGTAAAGAAACTAAGATTAAGAAACTGACAAGAAAATTAACTGAGAAACCATATTTGTTAATGCTTACAAAATAAACTTGTTTATTTGATTTAATTTTAACAACTGTCTGGACTCAGTGTGTACCCGAGAGTAACGGGTTGGTGGCAGTGGGGAAGCGAGCACAGTGGTGGCGCAGGGATCAATAGATCGTCAAACGTCCGGGAACCCTGTGTGATTGCCACAGTCATTTCACTGAATATTCTCCAAGGGAGGACTGAAAATCTCCAGGAGGAGTTGGAGAGGGAAAACTTTCAAAGAATTGTCAAAATTTCTTTCCTCTCAGCCTTCCTTCAGCCCTGCTCCCATTCAGTGTAACTGAAAAATGTTTCCCTAGTACAAATTCAGAGGCAGCATGGGCAAAATTGGTGAGGGGAAGGCCACCTATGAAGTTAACCAAGGAAGAATGGTCTTCCTCTTCTGTATTCAGAATTTTTCTTTTTGGTTCCTGCACCCTCTCAATTATGCTCCTATTCAAAGTAGTGAAGTAATGTTTCTCCATTGCACTGAATGAAGGGGACAAGAGGAATGAACTTGTCTCTGATTTGCATTTTAATTCAAGCTGGAGAAGAATTTGGGTCTTGAAATGCTTGTCCTCGGTCAGCTTTGAAACTCCTGAAGGTCTTCTCCAAAGCACAGTTTGGAGAATTGTGATGGTTTCACTAGCATAGAAAACCACTGAGAGCCAGTGTGGTGTAGTGGTTAAGAGTGGTAGTCTCGTAATCTGGGAAACCAGGTTCGAGTCTCCACTCCTCCACATGCAGCTGCTGGGCCAGTCACACTTCTCTGAAGTCTCTCAGCCCCACTTACCTCACAGAGTGTTTGTTGTGGGGGAGGAAGGGAAAGGAGAATGTTAGCCGCTTTGAGACTCCTTAAAGGGAGTGAAAGGCGGGATATCAAATCCAAACTCTTCTTCTTCTTCTTCACTGCTCCACTTCTTCTGGAGAATAGATGTATGTATTTTTTTACCTGTTTGTGAAATGGAATGGCTTTATAGATGTCCTTCACCCTCCCAGAGCTAAATAAATAACACTATGGCAAAGTGAATGCTGTCACTTGTAATGATTATGCAAGTATAGCAATTTTATTTTATTTGCAGATTTATAAACTGCTTCACAACCAAACATTACTGAAGCTGTGTACAGTAAAATACAGAGGATTCCTAATGTAGTAAACTACATTTGCTTTGCATAATTTATTCTGATTCTGCAAGGCTTCAGGAGGAAAGAGTTGCTTTGCAGGCCACTGAAACCTTCACCCCCTGAAATCCTAAGCTCCTTCTAGTTTCTACCAGGCATTGCTTATGCACTTCGGAGCTTAGCCTTTGTTTCTAATGTAACACAAGCTACTGCCATTCATTGTATTAGTAGCAATCCAACACACCTTCACTTACTAGAGTAAGGTGTGGCAATTATTGTTCCTTCTTCTCTTCCAAGAGATAGACTTTTTCTAAGGTCGACCCCAGTTCCCTTCCACGAATTCCCCTTTTTAGTACTCACAACAAAACAAAATAAAGAAAGAAGAAAATTCAAAATATAGTTGTACACCCTTTGGATTCCAGAGTTCCCTCCCCCCTTTCCCGGTTTCGATCCCCAATGTCCATCAGTCTATCTGCTATCAGCCTGGAGACCTCACATCCGAGGCCCTTAATTCTCTCTCAGCTCCTCTTTGCCGGTTGTTTTTTTTTTTGGTAGTCTTTAATATCAAACACCCAATCTTGGAGAAGCTCTGTCTCAAGAATGTCCATTTTTCTTCCATCCAGACCTCTATATTTAAGAGTGGAACTCAGATCTTGTTTCTTAATCCTTTTAAGTCTGAATGTCCCAAATGCTCCAGCTTCCATCTTGATCCAATTCTTGTTTTTCTTTGTGTCCTTCCTGACAGGCCTTTGGCCTTCCTTGGTCTTCTGCGACAATGTGACTCCTCCTTCATTCCCTTCCAGATCATCATAAATCCCTTGTTCTCTTTCATCACTTTTCTCAGGTTTCTTTTCCTGTTCCGCTGCAAAAACTTCTAATTCAAAAACTTCTAATTCCCCTACAGAGGCTTTTTGTTCAGGAACAAAAACTTGCGTCAAGTCCCTTCCTTTCTCAATAGATATGTCTATTGTCTCCTTCAGTGTAGAAACCTCTGTAGACAAAATAATGTTTTGTTCTTGCAGCTTTCCCAGGAGATAAAAAGTCCTGTTCAATTCCATGAGTATTTTTCCACTTACAGCCATTCTTGTAATGTCCCAAAACCCCCTCTAGAGGGATTATGGTTACTTAGTTTCCTTCCAGATCCAACCCAAAAGTCAAACTAACTTGTTATTCCTTATTTTCAACAATTTATATCCAAATTGTAACAAATCTGACAAGCAAAGTCACAGTAACAAAGTTCTATTTTTATTCTCCAACTTTGACAGCTACTTTGACAGCTGTCAAAATCTCTGCGTCTCTTCACCAGGCTCTCTCACGGATCACTCCCGGTTCCCGGGGGGTTGCACTTTAACTCTCACAATCCACTCTTATCCTCCAGCAAAATTACTTGTAATTTCCAATCGTGAAATTAATAACTTTTATCTAATAAAGAAAAGGCTCTTCTCTCGACCTTAGTTGTCAAATCCTCGCTTTAAATTGTTTACAATGGGGGGAGATGGACTTCCTCTTTGCACCTCCCCCGCTCATACCAAATCCAAGAAAAAGAAAAGTTTCCCTTTTAAGTCCGATTTCCAAATTACTCACGGGTTGTTATTTTTATTCCAATTTTTCAGAAGAAGAAGTCAGCACTCTCCGTCGAATGGCATGCGGCTTCGCTCGGCAGGGGAAGCAGAAGACTCACAGCACCGCGCCGCTCCCCGTCCCCCGCTCCGTAGCCTTTAAAAAGGCTCCTTCGCGGGTCGGGGGGCGCAAACGGTGCCCGCCGAGTCACCAGGTCCACGGGCTTTTGCGCCCGTGGTTTTTAAGGGTCCCCGCGTCGCCGGCGCGGCAGGACCCGACCCCTGCCGAGCAGATTCCCTCCGGAGCTCGGAGGGAATCCGCCATTCAGCGATGGCGCCAACCCGGAAGTCTCCGCAGTAAACTACATTTGCTTTGCATAATTTATTCTGACTCTGCAAGGCTTCAGTAGGAAAAACTGCTTTGCAGGCCACTGAAACCTTCACCCCCTGAAATCCTAAGCTCCTTCTAGTTTCTACCAGGCATTGCTTATGCACTTCGGAGCTTAGCCTTTGTTTCTCATGTAACCCGAGCTACTGCCATTCATTGTATTAGTAGCAATCCAACACACCTTCACTTACTAGAGTAAGGTGTGGCAATTATTGTTCCCCCTTCTCTTCCAAGAGATAGCTGCAGGAGCATGCACAGTAGGTTGCTTTTTAGGGTGGTTTGAATGGCTGCTCTCAGAAGATTCTGGCAGTCTCACCTGGCCCTGGGAGAGAGAACATAAGAGAACTCTGCTGGAGCAGGTCAAAGGCCTATCTAGTCCAGCATCCTGTTCTTCCTGTGGCCAAACAGATGCCTATGAGAAGCTCTCAAGGAGCAACTGAGCGCTACAGTGCTCTCCTCCCCATTTGCAGTTCCCAGCAACATTTGAGGCAATTCCTAACTGTGTAGTGCATCAATGACAGCTCCATAATAAAATCCAGAGTCAGGCCACCGGGATTTAAATATCTTGCTTTTCTAACACATTGCTTTAAAAAATCCCTCCACCTTAAAAACACAGACATTCAAAACAAATTATTAATAAAATCACATGATTAAATTTATGGCGCATGACTGCAGTTCTGTGCATGGCTGGGAGTAAGCACCATTGAACACAGTGGTGCGTATTTCTGCTGTATAGGTTCAATTTTTAAAACACATTTGGTTTTAGCAAATGACATCCAGACAGCAGAAACACAACCTTTTACTTTTAATTAGCAATGCAACTTTTTGTTATTTATTTTTGGGATTTTACAACAAAATCAAACAGTCCCCTGTCTCCCCACCTCCCCTACGCATCCTCCCCCTTCCTCACATGCTCCCAAACCTCTGTATTCCTCCCTAGCCCCAATTGCCCTTAATTCCCCCCCCCCATTCCACAGCATTTGTATTTGTTTGTATGATCAGTGGCAAACCTGTACTTTCACTACTGATTCCCCTGACACATCTAATCTAAGGATGACCTACTGGTTATGATGTAACAATGCAAGCAATCGAGAATTTACAGACATTTACAGACCACGTCCACACAGGATTAAAGTGTAGTATTTTGTCTCAAACTGCCCCACTGAACAAGCTTATATTAGCTTACGAAAACCCTCTCCCATGCCCACACTTTTAAGCAGTTTGCCATTCCTTCTTTTTATCTAAGTTGTATATAAAAATAGGAGGAGGTCTGTGGCAATTTAAAGACTTAACTGTATTTATTTGTAAAGGGAGTAAGATTTGCTAGGGCATACTTCCTCAGATGCAGAATGGGTGGCAACAGCAACAACATAGTATTAATATTATTAATAATGTACAGTGGTACCTCAGGTTACGTACTTAATTCGTTCTGGAGGTCCGTTCTTAACCTGAAACTGTTCTTAACCTGAAGCATCACTTTAGCTAATGGGGCCTCCTGCTACTGCCACGCTGCCGGAGCACTATTTCTGTTCTCATCCTGAAGCAAAGTTCTGAACCCGAGGTAATATTTCTGGGTTAGCGGAGTCTGTAACCTGAAGCGCCTGTAACCCGAGGTGCCACTGTACATTGCTTTTTTCTGGAGGGAGGCAGGGGTACGCATATCCCTAAACATTTTGTGAATCTAATGGGAGAAGAAACTAAAAAAATTAAAATATGTAATTTCTTCTCAGCGCGGTGAATCGGAAGTTCCGTTGCTACCCCCGATGGCAGTCTTTGGTCCATTTACTGCATTTATTTTTCCTGATTTGAACTATAAAATGGTGATTTTCTTGAGTCAAAATGAGAGTACACCTACACTATACTGCTTAATATTGATATTTTAGATTGCTGTAACCTGCCATGGGACCTTATGGTGCAAAGCAGGGAAGAATTCAATATACAGTGGTACCTCGGGTTAAGAACTTAATTCGTTCTGGAGGTCCGTTCTTAACCTGAAACTGTTCTTAACCTGAAGCACCACTTTAGCTATTGGGGCCTCCCACTGCTGCCGCCGCACGATTTCTGTTGTCATCCTGAAGCAAAGTTCTTAACCTGAGGTACTACTTCTGGATTAGCAGAGTCTGTAACCTGAAGCGTCTGTAACCTGAGGTGCCACTGTATAAAGGAGAATGCATGCTTTCTCCCCAAGGATCCCCATGCACCTCACATTTGGACACTAAGCACTGGTTACCCACAAGTGCAGCAGCAAGAATGCAGCCTCGTATTCTTTCTGTGGACCAGAGCCCTGTCTCCTTCTTCTGTGGGCTCATCATGGTGTAGTTATACTGCCTTTATAATAATCAGATCATGGTGCCTTGCCCTGACACAGGAATGTAAGAAGCTGGCTTATCTTGAGTCACAGGGCTCTTCAGGACCCTACAGAGAGATAACGGGTCTTGAACCTGGGACCATGTGCTTGTAAGGCAGAGGCTTTACCACCTCACCAGTAGGCCTGGCAAAGAAACTCAGTTTATGCAATCTGAACTCTGGTGAACTGAGTAGGCCTCTCTCTGCAGAGGAGCCATAAAGTGTCCCAGCTGTGGCTAGAATGGGCTGAACTTCTGTGATCTGCACTGACAGGAGATTGACTCAAAACACACAGAGCAGCAACAGTTGTTGACAAGAACACCTGGTGCACTTTGGTTTATGAACCGAACCACGAGTTCAAATAAGTTTATGCAAACTGAGCTGACAAGTCAGTTTGAAAGAGAATTTAACATTGGTATAAGGGAGATATTATCCCAGCTAATTACAGTAATTTTATGGATGTCTATAACCTGTTCCAGGATATGTTTAAGCTGTGAATCGGTGTAAAAAACGCCAGCTAATATACACAATGGGACATTTACTCTCTTCTTTTTGACATCTTTTTTTAAAATGCTTGAGGATATGATCACTCCTGTTTTAGGAGCTACCCCTTAAAAGGGGGACCTCTCAATACTTTAAATAAATAACTTGGCAGGCTTCCATCATCTGCGTGCTCCCCTCTTGTACTAAATATGATTTCCAGAGGTGGATGGAAGAATTGGACTAAATGAAAACAAGAAGTTAATGTTCTGAGTCACCATGTACACTAGTGACCATGGTTTCGTCCCCACTAGGGCACATGTGAGTCACTGTTTTGATGAGCACATTAGTGTGTCTTATCAATACAAAAGCACTTCCAGGTTTATGTCTCCAAAATCTATCTTGGTGTGTCCTGTCCACATTAGTGGGTAGTGCTAGATGGGATTGTTGGGGGGAAACAAATAAACTTCCTTCTCCTGAACCTCTAGCTAATGCATGTAATTACTTTAAACCACACAAGAGCACTGTTTGTGTAGCAAGCAAGCCAGCATTTGCTCGTAGTCTTTTTCTAAGTTAACTCCACCTGTAAAAGCATTTCGTTGTTCTCTCCTGATAAGATGCCTGCTATTGCTCTCTCTTTTTATCTCTACTCATCCTGTAAATCGTTCTTGCCAAGATAATTCTGTTCCTGCATGAATAAAGCTGTAGAAATCCAGAAACTGTACATAAACTTCTAGTTTACTTCACCCAAGCTGCAAGGTCTGCTAACAGCGATGTATTTTGCTGAGGCTGAGCTCCATTATGGACCTGCCTTCAAGTTTATTTCAAATATGTGTGTTCCAATAGTCCAGACTTGCCCAAAATTACAGTAATTTATTTTAAATGTGTGTTGCTCCAAGCCATGAAATCTTTTGTCTTTTTTGTGTTTTTTTTGTTTGTTTTTGTTTACCTGTCTAGCATACATACCTTTGATTTTTTTAAAAAAAACAATAATGCAAGTTTTCTCTACACTTCTGACACAATTTGTCACATTTGTGGGCATCTAAGGTGCAAGAAGCTTCCAACCAAGCACTCAGAGTGTAGAGGAAGCTCTCCTGCAGGAACCTTGAAAGCAGAACCATTTGCCACAAGGCTACTCATCCTGCCAAGACAGGGATGTATTTGTGCTACGGCTGAGTTCCATAATGGACATGCCTTCAATTTATTTCAATTTTTCACATTTGCGGACATCTGAGGTGCAAGAAACCTCCAGCCAAGCACTCAGAGTATACAAGAAGCTCTCCTGCAGGAACCTGGTCCTGAATGCACCTTAGAAGCAGAACCATTTGCCTCAAGGCTACATTACAATGTTTGGCAGGGGAAAAACCTGACCCCTGGTTGTCTTACATCACAGACCTTGTGTGCAGTAATGCCGTTATCATTGCCTTACTAATCAATGAAGAAAAAGAATACAGACTGAAGTTCAGAGTTCATTTCTTGATTATACAACCTTATCTACTTAATGGCTAATGTCATTTACTCAGAGAAACCTAGAATTCCTATTGGTGAAAGTCCATGTATATGTGACCTCCTCAGAGTATATAAAATTGGAAAGCAAGTTAATTCGTCTAGAGTCATTTCAGTCACTGTTAGCTGGTGCCATGGAGCCTCTAGGGACAGTGACCATTTTGATGATCATATGTATCTCTTGCCTTGTTTTCCTCGCAGTCAGGAGCAGAACGCCAGAGAATGCAAAGCAGCTGCCACCTGGCCCACCTCCACTGCCCATCGTAGGGAATGCTCTGCAGCTGAAGACCAACAACCTGGCCCAGGTTCTCCAGGAGGTAAGCCAAGGATGAGCACCTTCTTAACAGCTGTCTGTTGATGACAGTTACCTGTTTGCAAGCCTCTTTCCATCTGACTCTTTTGGAAGGGGACAATCCATTGTCAGTTTGTTTATTTATAGATGGTACCATCTGGGTGCAGGGCACATTTGCAGAGTATAAGGCAACAGACTCTGCACATTGACAGAGGAGAGGCAAGAGAAGGGAGGGGAGGCATCCAGACCAGAGGAAAATAATAGCAGAATCGCTGTGATTTCCGTGGCACAGACTTGCGCTTGGCTACATCAGCAGGGATGGGGAGCAGGGACTTGTCGCAAAGGCTCCACAGAAAAGAGGTGGACTTTGAGCAGGTCCCACAACTCCAGAAAGGGGGTTATTTTATTGTCATTTTATTGTCTTATGCTTAAAATAAAAGCCATAAAGCCCCCTTCTGGGTAACGAACTTTAAAAAGCAATAGTGCAATTTTCATACTATTTTAGAGACAGGGGGCGGGGGCGGGTCCAATTCTCCCTCCACACATGGATGGTTTGGGCATATTTGCCCTCTGAACATTTTAGCCTCTGCTGGACAGTGTGGAGTTCATAGTCTTCTTGTATTTTGAAAAGCTGCTCCTTTATTTTCCCCAGAATGTGCTCGGTTGGAAGATACTGTAAGAATTCCCTTAGAAAAATGAGTGGGGGGGGGACATAACAGAGCAGTATAATAATATTCACGGTATAGAGAAAGTGGATGGGAAAACACTCTTACCCTCCTCTCATAATGCCATACCCTCCAACATTTCTCCAATGAAAATAGGGACATCCCATTCCATAATGATAATTTTACTATTTATAGCCCACACACCTTACTGGGTTGCCCCTGCCACTTTGGGCAGCTTCCAACATATATAAAAACATAACAAAACATTAAAAATTAAACAAAAAAACACTTCCCTATTCAGGATTGCCTTCAGAGGGGGGGTCGGATAACTCTATACCCTCCAACATCTCTACAGTAAAAATAAGGACATCCTAAGGAAAAGGGGGGAAATTCTGTGATCAAACTGGGATGGCTTCTCTAAATCAGGGATGTCCCTGGAAAATAGGGACACATGAAAGGTCTGTAAAGCTAAAACTTGGAGCCTTCAGTTAAAGCTGAATGTTGGAAAATTTACAACACACGCAAGTTAGCAGTTCTTCATACAGTGCATATTGAAACTGTGGAATTCACTCCCAAAGAAGTAGCGATGATAGCCTCCAACTTGGATGATTTAAAAGAAATGTTAGGACAAAGTTCATTGAAGATAAAGCTACCCATAGCTGCTAGTGATGATGCTGAACCTCCCCCAGTTCCAGGGACCTGCAGGAGGGGAGTGTGCTATTGCACTCAGGTCTTGTTTTTGAGCTTCCCAGAAGAACTGTGTTGGCCACTGTGATAACAGTCGTGGACTAGTTGGCCTTTGGCCTGATCTAGCTGCAGAACTTTTCTGTATGTTATTAAGAGTCATGTGGTTCAGATGCCCATAGTGAGTCTGGGGGCAGCGGGGCTCTCCATCAGCTATATGACTCTCTCCTAACCCACAAACCCACCTAGATGTGTGTCTTTCTCTAACTTTTTTCCAGTTTAGTGAGAAGTATGGATCTGTGTTCACAATGTATTTTGGAGCAGAACGTATTGTGGTGCTGCATGGCTATGATGCAGTGAAAGAAGCACTGATTGACCGTGGAGATGAATTTGCTGCCAGGGGACACCTGCCATTAGCTGATGATGTCAACAAGGGATTAGGTATTTTATGCTGGTTGACCAGTGGAGGTGGAGGGACACAGGAAAATCCCTCTATTCATTAAAATAAAGCAAAAAAGGTTTCAAAGACAAATCATTGCATCTTGAGATAAACTTTCCTAATTAATGTTCCCACTGGATTGTAGCAATAGATAATTATCAGCCTTTTAATGGCAGAGCTATATATTGGCCATTGCCATTTAAGAGAGAAATGAGCCATCTTATAAAAGTACTTAAGCAATATGTAGGGCTGTAGCGGACAAAGGTGGGTGTGGTGGGTGTGGGCCGCCCTGGGTGCAATCCCTGAGGGGTGTGACATCGCCACATGTGGCGCCCCCCTGGGATATGTGTCACCGCCAGCACCCCCGGACGCTCCCGCCGCCGCACGCTGCCTTACACCCAAGGGTGCTTACCCCTGCCCACACAGGCCGCTCCAGGTGCCGGAGCAGCTAGCTCCGCCTCTGGTCTAGAGCAAGCACCAAAAATTAAATCAGGATTGAATGAGTCTCTAGCCTTTAAAAATAATGGTCTGGGGTAATTCTGGTGTGGGCAGTAAGTGTGAGAGTTATGTGAGCAGAATTCCCTGGCTTGGATTTTGTGAATCAATAAACTATCCACACCAAGAAAGAGTTTCAAAGTTACTGCAAGCTATCGTTAAATTTGTTACCAAATAAATAAATAAATACAAATCAACACATTGCACTTAAACAACTAGCAATGTAGTCCAGTTTTCTTTAAGTTGTTTCTGGTTAATAAAGTCCAAGAACTATTGCTTCTTCATTATACTGGCAGCTTCAGAGAGAGACCCAGGCTCCAAGAGATGAATTATCAGTTAACATAAATATCGAAACATTGAAATCTCTTTTTAAGTTTTAGCTGCAAAAATGGACATTCTGCAAATGCAAACCTCCACCACGTTTCATACACAACACACACACACACAAACATAGCATTTTATGCACATTAAACACAAATATTTTACAGTAAGGGCAAGTATCAGAAGACTGGCCAGCTACTGATTATGGAATAAGGAGGCACCAAAGTACCAAGTCTCCAGGTGGTCTGGAGCCAAGAATAAGAACCTCCTGCTCTTCCAACCTGCTTCTTCTGCTCTCCCTTTCAGTCCATCCATCTCCTTCATGCCCATTTCCTCTTCTGCTTTCCAGGAATTGTATTCAGCAATGGGGAGGTGTGGAAGCAGCTCCGACGCTTTGCCCTTACCACCCTGCGCAACTTTGGCATGGGAAAGAAAAGTATTGAGGAGAGGATCAAGGAGGAAGCACAGTTCCTGCTAGAAAAGTTCCAGGACACTCAGGGTGGGTAGCCACTGCCCTTCATCGACATAGGCTTATCAAGCAGACCCCCTTAAACGTCACAACAGATTTTGGGGTACATTACAACAGATTATTAACCACCAACTCATAAAGAAATATCATGGTGGGTACAAGGAAATTATTAAAAAATTAAAATCATAAAACACAGAACTAGTGACCAACACTGAATCAAATAAATTGCCTAAAAACACTTGTGAAATACAGTGGTACCTCAGGATAAGTACTTAATTCTTTCCGGAGGTCCGAACTTAACCTGAAACTTTTCTTAACCTGAAGCACCACTTTAGCTAATGGGGCCTCCTGCTGCTGCCGTGCCGCCGGAGCCCGATTTCTGTTCTTATCCTGAAGCAAAGTTCTTAATCTGAAGCAGAGTGCTCTGCAGATATTGTTGATTTCCAGCTGCTTTCAGACCCAACAGTCATCAGTGGTCCAGAAGTTAGAGTCTAGCAGCATCTGAAGTGCTTTAGATTCCCTAGTTTTAGTCTAGAGTTCACCAAGGCCTGCACCACTGTGGTCACCCTTTCCTATCTAAGGATATATTGGCTGAAGCTGGAGGAAAGCACCTTGGAAAGTCCTTGGAAGAAACCACTCATAGCCACTGAAGATGCCCATGCCTCCAGAATTGTTGTGAGAAAGGCAGCTCCCTGTCTGACCACTGAGGCCAGGAGCCAGGAAATGGCAGCTCAGAAATTCCAGACTAGATTATTGCCTAAAACCTGTAGTGGGGTTGTATAATTATTTTTTGGTTGTCCTTCCAGAGAAGCCCTTGGATCCAACCTACTTGCTCAGTTGCGCTCTCTCCAATGTCATTTGTGCAATTGTCTTTGGGAAACGATATGATTATAATGACAAGAAGTTCCTATCCATGATGAGCTTAATGAATGAAAACTTTCAGGTTTTTAGCTCTCCTTGGGGACAGGTAGGTGCCATCTTTTTAAAGGCCCTTTCCCACAAAGTCTAAATTTTCCTGCTGTTTAAATGTCTTTCTTCCGGGCTTCTCATGACCCATACTGCCTCTGCCTCTTAATATTTCTCTTAATGTCCTAGTTGCAGGCTTGCCATGGGTAACTGGTTAGCCACTGTGACAGCAGGATGGGCCACTGGCCTGATTCAATAGTCTCTTCTTACGTTTTTATGTATTTAATTTGGAGTTCCAGTCAAGGTCGGTGCATACAATGCCAATACCTGGGTCTAGTAACCAAGGTTTGACTTAACAGCAGCCCAGTGGAGCAGGAAGTAAAGCTTAAGCAGTTTTGGCAGCGCAGGTGGGGGATTGTTGCATGATTTCTCCGTTTTTTGTAAAGGTACATGTCAGGGCCGCCTCAGGTCCCAGCTCACAAGAGACCAACGCCAAGTCCACTTTATTTACAAAAGTCTTTATTGAAGTACATTGTTTGTTCCACAGCCGAGGCGCGCAGTCCCACGTCTGTTACGCTTAGACCGCTGAAGTCCCCTCTGAATCAGTCCCGCCTCTGCACCAGTTTAAGAGGCTTGTGCTGGTCCACCTCTTCCTGTCCTTCCTTTTCCGCAGGGTCTTTCTGCCCCCCTGGGTTCCTCCCCTCCTGGATTCCCCTGACGCTGAGTCCCCAGACGCCTGCTCCCCCCTCCTCCGTGCTTTGGGACCAGGCTCCTCCTCCGGGCTCTCCGCATTTCCGCGCGCCTCCACATTTGAACTTGGCGCGCGTTCGCTACCTCTGACCTTCCTCTTGACAGTTACACTACTCTCTGTACTACTCTCCGCCCCTTCCGGCAGGACGTCTTGCCCCGATCTCCTTCCCCCCTCTGCTTCCTGCTCTGCTTCGTCTGTCACACTGGGAACTCCACCCTCTTCACTCCGTTCCGGCGGGGAAGCCGGCCCCGATCTCCAACTCCCACTCGGGGTTCCCCTGCTGCTCCCCTGCTCCTGACGAGTCCCCCCTGTGACTCCCCATGGCCTGACCAGGGGTGCCCCCTTTTGGGAATCCTCCGATTCACTTGAAAGACTCATGGAAACCCTCAAGTCATTGTCATCCTCCTCCTCCTCGTTCCGGGATTTCCCCCCTCGCTCTCAGTCTCCTCCCTCATCTGTGCCTCTCTCCCTGAACCCCTGACAGTACACATAGGAGAAATTTTAAAAAAAATCTGCATATGACCTCTACAACCATTAGGCAGAGGGTGGGAAAGCACTAACTGAGGGGAAGGGAAGATAATACAATCAATGAAGCACCACCCAGTCATGCAGATGGGGAACATCTACATAGATTTGGGAGGCATTGGTAGTGAAAATGCTGGTGTGTGGACCACAGAGTTGAAATGCACACAAGGCAACAATGGCCAACGTTATACTGAAGCCCGAGTGTGGACAAACCCTGACTGAGGTTGGTGCCAAAGGGTCTCTTGTGGTGTTTCTTCTAGCTCTACAACGTCTTCCCTTCTTTGATGAAATGCATCCCTGGGCCCCACCACAAAGTGCTGAAAAACAACTTGGCACTCAGAGAGTTTGTTTTGGAGGAGGTTGAAGAGCACAAGCCCGCTCTGGACCCTAGCTCACCTCGGGATTTTATTGACTGCTTCCTTATGAAAATGGATCAGGTAATCATGAAAACTCACAGACCTCTCCAAGTGGGTTCTCCTGCCACTCCTGAAGCTTCCCAACCAGCAGACTTCCATCCAGCTTCTTGTGGGGAATGCCAAGGAAAGAGATTCCTGCCCACACCCCATTGGAGTAGATTCATTTCCCATTGCTGACCTGTTCTTGCAGTAAGTGGGAAGTTCTTTCTAATGATTAGCCCTCTGGGCAAGGAATGTCCAGAGGAACGAGCTATAAAAAGACTTGAGATAAGATGTGTCTTGGGAAGGGAGCTGGTCCCAGTGGCGCTGCTAAATTCTTGTTATGCTGTACTCAGAACAATTGAGTTGACTCCACTGACTGTATTGTGTGTTTCTGCAGGAAAAAGGTAATAGTGCATCCCATTTCACCATTGAAAACCTGGCCATAAGCACAGTTGACTTGTTTGCAGCTGGAACAGAGACCACCAGCACCACACTGCGATACGGGTTCATGATCCTCCTCAAATACCCAGAGATACAAGGTAAAACAGATGTGTCATTAGTACTTATTATTCTAGTTCTTTCCCAGGTTTATGTATCACAGGTCCAAGAGGTTGTTGTTCTGCCACTTTCCCCAGGAAAACCCACTGTTCATTGCTGAATGTTAACCATTGCTGACTGACATCAGCAGTAAACAGAAAGCTTTCCTGGAGACAACAGTGGGGTGTGTGTGTGGACAAAATGCTCAGACACATGCCTAGAAATCCCAGCAAAAACAGAAGTGTGGATGAGCTCTTATAGCTGACCATATTGCAAACCCCAGGATTTTATATACAAACAGTAACAACTTGAATTTGGCTCAGTAGTGTACTGGCAGCCAGTGCAGATCCTTTAGACAAAGGCATCACATCCTGCACCAGCTGCACTTTCTGTGCCAGCCTGAAGGGTAGCCCACAAAGGCACAACCACAAGGGCCAGGGGTCAAAAGGCCCTCAGGTAGGATCAGAATCACTGCAGGACAGTGCCTCCAATAGGAATCCCTCTAAGCTGGACCATCACTTGCTCCTAAAACTTCCCTAAAGAGGAGGCTTTTGTCCCTCTGGGCTCCTTTTGGATAGAAATTGAATTAATATATAAATAATTGCAGTTATACTATGTTTCCCTGTTTACGGATGGATTACTGAAGGTGAGCTACAATAATTTGTCTGAGTTAATGTGATGAGTCAAGAGAAAGTTGGCATCAGAAAACATTGAAAGCTCCCAAAATGTGCAGGGGCTGGCAGGCACTCCCATGGAATTTCAATTGCTTCTATGTTTCCTGCACTGGTGTTAAACCTCATTCTTCCCATTGCAGAGAAAGTGCATGAAGAAATTGACCGAGTTATTGGCCGATCACGAAGTCCTTGCATGGCAGATCGTGGGGAAATGCCTTACACAGATGCTGTCATCCATGAGATCCAGAGGTTCATCTCTCTCCTCCCACTGAGCATCCCTCATGCAGTACTCAAAGACACACCGTTCAGACAATATGTCATTCCAAAGGTCAGCTCTTTTCAAGGCTCTAAGTAGTAATAATAGTAGGCTGCTAGCCATGATGGCTATATTCTACCTCCATGGCGAGAGGCAGCATGCTTCTGAATACCAGTGGGTAGAAACCACAGGAATTGAAAATGCTGTCTTTTTTAGATTATGTTGATGGGCTTCCCATGGGCATTTGGTTGGACACCATGAAAACAGGGTGCTGGACCAGATGGGGCCACTGGACTGATCCAGCAGAGCTTTTCTTCTCTTCTTATCTACAAGCAAGAGAAATAGTTTTGCCCAACTCCTAAAGTGTAGCTGGGCATCTTGATGCCTGGACTTCGTTTTAAACACCTTATTGCCTTCTGAAGCTGCTCCATTCCTCTTCTGTATCAACAAAGTACCTTCCTTCCTGTTAGTGCCTTCCCACACCATTCCTTTGGGTGTCATGGCCATCCAGCCCATTTCTTTGCACTCTCTGCAGGGCACTACCATATATCCTATTCTGACGTCTGTGCTACATGACAGCAAAGAATTTCCAAACCCCAAAGAATTTGACCCAGGACATTTCTTGCACAAAGATGGCACCTTCAGGAAGAGCGACTATTTCATGCCTTTCTCAGCAGGTAAGATCTCTGCTTCCTCAGTAGGCTGCAGTCTTGGCCAGCTCAGGTCTTTCCCGTCTCCCTAATTGGCTGGTGTCGGGGCAATGAGGGGGAACTTCCGTCCTCCTGCAGCCTAAACTGGAAGGGCTCCCAGTTTGTGAGAGAGGGGCAGAGGCTTCTGGGTCCATCAGAACTCCTTGTACCTTTCCTGTGGCCAGCTGAAGCAAAAGAAATGGTGGAAAGAGTGACTCTCCCAGGAGCTGTTCTGGAGCAGCACCTTTGCTCCTTTTGCATGATTGCTATTTTCTCCGTAACAGCCAAAGTGGTTGTTATGCATCTTACACTTTGGGTTTCCTTTGCAGGGAAGCGGATATGTGTGGGGGAAGGTCTGGCCCGTATGGAGATCTTCTTGTTCTTGACCACCATATTACAGAACTTCACTCTGAAGTCCATCATTGACCCCAAGGACATCGATCTCACACCGGTGTTGAGCAGCATAGGCAACTTACCTCGGCCCTATCAGCTTTGCATTGTCCCTCGCTGAAAAGCCTGCCTCAGTAGGGCTGCACATGTGGAAAAGTTGCAGCCTGGCAAATCTTTGTTCAAAAAACCCATAACACAATATCTCCTCAAGTGTGGAGCCCTATCTTCTTACCTGACTATTTGTTGAACTGTTACTTTGGGGATCCTGCTAGAGACTATTTCACGTTGAAGACATTATTGCAATGGACAAATAGCAGCATTTAGAAATTAGTCACACACACAAAAATCCCATTCTTATCTTTCTTGCCCCTTCATATGCATATGTGTGCAGCGGAGTAGCTAGGCACTGGAGTGACTGGTGCGGGGGTGTGTCCTGCAGCCAGGGGCGTTTTGAGCCACCCATGGGGGCGGGGTGAGCCTCTCCAATGTTTGGAGCCTCTCCGCCGCCTCCCCCTCAGCTGTAGGGCGTCTGAGGGAGATGCAGTAGGCAGACACAAATACCACGCTGCAGTGCGAAACTTGCAGGTGCCTAAGCCACCATGTCACTTCAAAAAATTTCGTGAGCCCAATTTTTTAAAAACTCATTTTGTCACACACCCCTCAGTGATGACATCCAGGGCAGACTGCCCCCCCACACCCCCTTCTTCCACCACTGTATGAGTGTGATGGGCAAAATCTGCCAAGATGGAAGCTTTTTAGCCACTGAGAAGAAGTCCTGTTACTCTTTGTGTCTTTGGAGGGTGCTGCAGAAATCAATAGCTTTTGAAATCTTTGCCCCTTTCACCTAGTAGAACATCCTTGAGACTTGACATTTACAAATGTTTGCCAAAAATCTCTTTAAGGGTAACCATATTCTAAAGAACAGATAGCAATACTGGATGCAACTGAACTTCTCAGTAAGTATGGGAAATGAATGGTTAGTTGGATATAGTTGGATCCAGTAATCTGCTAGTCCTAGGAAGCATATCTTCAAGAAAGGCACAGAGCATAGATGGGCAATATTTCCCAAGCCCACCTTGGATGAACTTGGATGAGAAAACTATCTTTTTTTTCTCCTGAGCCCAACTGAGGCTCTCACTGTCCTTAAAAATCTAGAACAGAGTGAAAATAGCCCTCCCTCAAATTCTCCACTTACTTTGTGGGTGGCAAAATAAGGAAGGTCGTTTCACTGAATATTCCCCAAGGGAGGACTGAAAATCTCCAGGATATATTTGAGAGGGAAAACTTTCAAAGAATTGTCATAATTTCTTTCCTCTCAGCCTTCCTTCAACCCTGCTCCCATTCAGTGTAAAAGAAAAATGTTTCCCTAGTACAAATTCAGAGGCAGCATGGGCAAAATTGGTGAGGGGAGGTCCACCTATGAAGTTAACCAAGGAAGAATGGTCTTCCTCTTCTGTCTTCAGAATTTTTGTTTTTGGTTCCTGCACCCTCTCAATTAAGCTACTATTCAAAGTAGTGAAGTAATGTTTCTCCATTGCATTGCATTAAATGGAAGGGGCAAGAGGAAGGAACTTGTCTCTGATTTGCATTTTAATTCAAGCTGGAGAAGAATTCGGGGCTTGAAATGCTTGTCTTCTGTCCCCATTGAAACTCCTGAAGGTCTTCTCCAAAGCACAGTTTGGAGAATTGTGCTGGTTCCACTTGCATAGAAAACCACTGCTCCACTTCTTCTGGAGAATAAGAGCACACCCAGATGTATGTATTTTTTTACCTGTTTGTGAAATGGAATAGCTTTATAGATGTCCTTCACCCTCCCAGAGCTAAATAAAGAATACTATGACAAAGTGAATGCTGTCACTTGTAAAGATTATGCAAGTATAGCAATTTTATTTTATTTGCAGATTTATAAACTGCTTCACAACCAAACATTACTGAAGCTGTGTACAGTAAAATACAAAGGATTCCTAATGCAGTAAACTACATTTGCTTTGCATAATTTATTCTGACTCTGCAAGGCTTCAGTAGGAAAAACTGCTTTGCAGGCCACTGAAACCTTCACCCCCTGAAATCCTAAGCTCCTTCTAGTTTCTACCAGGCATTGCTTATGCACTTCGGAGCTTAGCCTTTGTTTCTAATGTAACACGAGCTACTGCCATTCATTGTATTAGTAGCAATCCAACACACCTTCACTTACTAGAGTAAGGTGTGGCAATTATTGTTCCCCCTTCTCTTCCAAGAGATAGCTGCAGGAGCATGCACAGTAGGTTGCTTTTTAGGGTGGTTTGAATGGCTGCTCTCAGAAGATTCTGGCAGTCTCACCTGGCCCTGGGAGAGAGAACATAAGAGAACTCTGCTGGAGCAGGTCAAAGGCCTATCTAGTCCAGCATCCTGTTCTCCCTGTGGCCAACCAGATGCCTATGAGAAGCTCTCAAGGAGCAACTGAGCGCTACAGTGCTCTCCTCCCCATTTGCGGTTCCCAGCAACATTTGAGGCAATTCCTAACTGTGTAGTGCATCAACGACAGCTCCATAATAAAATCCAGAGTCAGGCCACCGGGATTTAAATATCTTGCTTTTCTAACACATTGCTTTAAAAAAATCACTCCACCTTAAAAACACAGACATTCAAAATAAATTACTAATAAAATCACATGATTAAATTTATGGCGCATGACTGCAGTTCTGTGCATGGCTGGGAGTAAGCACCATTGAACACAGTGGTGTGTATTTCTGCTGTATAGGTTCAATTTTTAAAACACATTTGGTTTTAGCAAATGACATCCAGACAGCAGAAACACAACCTTTTACTTTTAATTAGCAATGCAAACAACTTTTTGTTATTTATTTTTGGAATTTTACAACAAAATCAAACAGTCCCCTGTCTCCCCACCTCCCCTGCTGATCCTCCCCCTTTCTCACATGCTCCCAAACCTCTGTATTCCTCCCTAGCCCCAATTGCCCTTAATCCTCTTCCCCTCCCCAACCCACAGCATTTATATTAGTTTGTATGATCAGTGGCAAACCTGTACTTTCACTACTGATTCCCCTGACACATCTAATCTAAGGATGACCTGCTGGTTATGATGTAACTGTTCGGAAGATTTATTGCTTTATTGTCTGGTGCCCAGCCACGCTTCCCCTGCAGGCCTCTGCAGCTTCTGTTTACGCAGTGTGGCTTTCGAGCGGTCGTAAAGCAATTAGCAGAATTACACAGCGTCTGTGTCGAAAGGGCAGTAAATAAGTCCAGACGTTTCTACTATCCTAATATCTCTTTATTGGAAACAAAATAGCGTATTTACAAACTCCAACTTCCATCTGATTCAAGCTGCATTTTCTCTGCCTCCTCTCTCTCTCTCCTTGCAGCGGCTGAAACAACCTGCTTTCGATTTTCACTCAGCTCACAGCATTCCAAGCTGCTTTAGTCACATCCTGGCTCACTTCCCTTGTAAGCCCGTCCCCTCAGTGCTGAGGCACAGAAGGTTAACCCTTCACTACACCCAACACCCCCTCTTGTCTCACGCCTGAGGGGAGAATCGACCCTTGGTTGTCCCAAACCCAGACCTTCGCAAAACTCCCCATGTCTTTGGAAGGAGAGTGGCTTTGTGAACCCATCAGCTAGGTTCTTGGCAGAGGGACAATACTTCAGTGCAACTAATCCCTCCTGAACACTCTGGCACACATTCCGAAAGCGAATGTCTAGGTGTTTAGTTCTAGCCTTGAACTGACCTGACTCTGCCAAACGCAGGCATGGTTGATTGTCCTCGAAAACACGTATCGGTTGACAATCCACTTCGCAGAGTTCCTGCACTAAGCAAGCATAGAACTCTACTTCTCTGCATACCTCTGAAAGAGCACTGAACTCAGCCTCAGTGGATGAGAGCGCTATAAGACTTTGCTTCTTAGACCTCCATCCAACTACTGAGTTCCCAAACTTCACCACTAGACCAGGCACAGACTTGCGATCCTCAAGATTAGCCCAATCTGAGTCCACAAAACAAGTCAGTTTGACTTCTCCTTGTGCCGGCAACCTAAGACAAAAGTCTTTGGTTTCCTGCAAATACCTCAGAACTCTCTTGATGCCATTCCAGGCTTGCACACTAGGGTTTGAAGCCACCCTGCTGAGCAGATTGACAGCAAACGCTATATCAGGTCTGCTCCACTGGGACAAGTACAACAAACTCCCTAGGGCTGACTGAAACACTTCAGTATTTTCGAACGCAGCGCGTTCTACTTGCTGGCTGTCTTTCACAAACTAATCTCCATAGGACTTCTCTGCACAATCACTCATTCTGAACTTCTGAAGCAGTTGCTCAATTTTGCCTCTCTGGCTGAGCAAGAAGCTTCCATCCTGTGCTCAGTCAACACTTACACCTAGATAGGTTTTGACAGCACCAAGCTGCTTAAGCTGAACCGTTTACCTAGCTCTTTGGCAAACTTCTCTGCCTGTTCATCTGTCTCTGAGAAGAATAACAAGTCATCAACCCAAATCTGCAAATACTCTTGTGTTGCCCCTGATCCTCTCAAATAAAAGCAATTATCAGCAACACTTCTTCTGAAACCTAGCTCTTCTAAGACTTCATTCAGGCACATGTTCCAGTTTCTAGCAGATTGATGTAATCCATAGATGGATTTGTGCAATCTCCACACAACATCCTGCCTTAAGTTCTCAAACCCCAGAGGAGGAATCATGTATAGCTCCTCCTGGAGATCTGAGTTTAGGTAGGCAACATCCACATCAAAGTGGTTTACCTTCCAACCTCTCTGTGCTGCACAAGCCAAAAGCGTTCTCAGAGTCTCCGCTCGTGACGTTGGCGAATACACCTCCGTAAAGTGTATTCCCTTTCTCTGAGTGAATCCTCGAGCAACTAACCTAGCTTTATACTGTGGCTCTCCGGTGTTAGTGGGTTTCAAGCGATAAACCCACCTGCAACTCACAGCCTGCTTTCCTGGTGGCAACTCTGTGAGTGAGAACACACCTAGATCTTTCATGGACTTCATCTCTTTGTCCATTGCCCTGTGCACCACTTGCCTGCTTCTTCCTCAGGTAAACTCTGAATATCCTTGAAGGATTCAGGTTCACATCTGGCTGAACCTACCCAGACGCTTGAAGCGTCGTACCGATCAGGAGGTGGCTGAACCTACCCAGACGCTTGAAGCGTCGTACCGATCAGGAGGCCTCCTTGTCTTCGCTGATCTCCTCAGTATGAATCCTGGTGACCCTGCTGCTTCACTGGGTCCAGCTAAATGATCCTCAACTTCAGTGTCTTCCCCCTCTGACCTGCTGTGCCTCTTGGGCCTTACAGCTGGTCCAGCAGGTGAAGAAGGTTCACTCTTTGGCTCAGACTTGACACTTGCCTGAGGAGGTGTTCTAGGTTCCCCCCTCTGCGGGATCCTGAGCTGTCCCTGCCTTGGACTTTGTCCCTGTGGTGGACCTTGTTGCTCTGGACCATGGTCCCCAGCAACGAGTTCCTCTTCCTCCTCAACGTCTGAGTCATAGAACGACTGTGGAATCACGTCTGGATTAGCGTGTAGACGTCTCCACCCGGCTTGCTCACAGAACTCAGCGCTATTGCTGATAACCAACCTTGACTGGTTTCCAATTGGGTACACAAACCGCCAGGCCTTTGAGCCAGGCTCATACCCTACAAAAATCATTCTTTTAGATCTTGGCTCACCTTTCTTACGTAAAGCCTTTGGAATAAGCACCTAAGCCTCACAACCAAACACACGAAGGTAGTGTACCTTAGGCTTCTTCCCATGCAGCAAGAAATACGGCGTATTTCCTACACTAGAGTTGTATACTCTATTCTGCATATGAACTACGTAGCGCCAGGCCTCAGACCAATATTTCTGGGGTAGCCCTGCGTCCCACAGGATCGCAGATACAGCTTCCTCCACCGTCCTGTTCTTCCTCTCTGCAACCCCATTCTGTTGCGGAGAGTAAGGAGTGGTCAATCTGTGGCTAATCCCCTTCTCCCTAAAGAAATCCTGCAAAGCAGAACCAGTGAACTCAGCACCTCTGTCACTTTGAAAACTATGAACTTTGGTGGAAAAGGTTACCTCAACTGCGGTGATCCAATCCCTGATCATTTTTGCCGCCTCCCCTTTCGTTTTAAGAGCAAAGGTCCAAGCAGACCTCGAGAAATCATCAATCAGAAGCAGAGAGAACCTTGACCCCCCCCCAGTGACTCAACTGACATGGGTCCACACAAATCCACATGAATTAACTCAAAGGGTTGTGTGGTCTGTCTCTCTGACTTTGGATAGGAGCATGTCACAATTTTTGCCTGTTTACATGCATTGCAATCTAAAAATTTGTCACAATTATTAAATTTGCACCCTTGTGTCAGCTCTGGTGCTTTCTGAAGATATCCCCAATTCAAATGGGCGAAGCGTCTGTGCCAAATATGCGAACAACCATGGTGGGGCGCCACATTCACACATTGCCCCTTCGCATCTTTGGTGTCATCCTCTCCTGTAGGAAAAGGCACATTTACAGCAAACAAATTGGCTTTAGATTGCACTGTGTACACGTGTTTCCCATCCTTGGAAACCTCACACTTGGTACCTGCAAAAGACACATGAAAACCATCAGCAAGTAGATCATGCACGCTTAATAAACAGTTAGTTAAACCGGGCACTGCATAAGCTTTGACTTCATGCTTAAGAAAGGGACAGAAGAAAAAGTCTGTCTCTGTTAGTCTTTTTCTGCTTCCATCTGCGATCGTCACATATCTTTGAGTTTTTACTGTCCTGCAATTTCTCAAAAGACCACTAGATGGCACCAGCGTATTTGTCGCTCCAGAGTCGATTATTACATTGAGAAAGTCTTGTTGTTGACATTCCTGGGTCGCCATGGCAACAATCTCCTCACTACCCCCCTCCTTGGGGCTTCTGCAAATGTCCTCTCTGGTTGTCACAGCAACAGACTCCGCCGGCAGGGAGAGTTGCCCACGACCTTCACAGCTTCCGTAGATGCAACTCTCTCAGTTGCCTTGGAGACCGGACTTCTCCCGGCGTTCCCACACAACTCCACAGCTCTTATCTCTACTTGCTGCAGGTGGCCGGCCTTGAAACCTCCAGCACGGCTAGGCGTAAACAACCCTTGGCGTAAACAACTCTTGGCAGCTTTTGGAGAAAGAGGCGTCTCTGAGCTTTCACTGCTCACTGCCCCCCCACTACTCACAGGGCTCCCAGGACGTTTTCCTGCACCCCCTCTGATGGGTAAAGGGCTCCCAACACTTGGCCTCTCTCCTGGCTCCTCACACAGACAGGTTGCAGCATCCATACAGCTCCCAGGCTCAGCAAAAGCACCAGCAGCATTGCCAGCAACAGCAACAGTCACTTCACCCCCCTGTGGGGGCTCCCAGCTCCTCCCAGCTGTGTGTCGGCTCTCAAGAATGTGGTCGGCGCCATCTTGCCTCTCCCTTTCGGATGCAACCACTTCTCGGCCCTTGCTTCCCATGCCAGCTCCACAAGCCTTTCGGAGTGCTTCCCAAGTGGCCTCTGGCCCTTCTGCATCCAGGACAACTGGCACTAGATGAGCATCCACATTTTCTGCGAAAAAAGCAAGCACACGCTTCTCAACTTCACTTTGCTCTGCAGCCCTTTCAGCCTCTGCTTTCCCAGCTGCGTTCTGTGGAGGCTGTACTACGTCCCAAAGCTACGTCCCAAAGCTGCTCCCCCACCAGCACAAGTTCCACTGTAAAACTCCACTGCAGCCAATTTTGGCAATTCAGTTTCTGACATGGCAGTTTAAACTCAAAGCCATGTCCATGGGACTGAGCCATTGCCTCCCTTCTGTTGGCCTTTGCAAGAGCAGCCGATAATACTCACTCGGCAGCCAAACCGGGCACTCCGGATGACGTGGCTCCCAGCTCCCACTCCATCAGCCTCCTCTGATCTGCCCTTTGAAGTCTTGGCAGTCGATCAAGCCGACATTCAGCCTTTTAAAGTCTTCCAAGCCCTTTCTCATATGCTTCGCGTTGACCCATAACCTGTTCGGAAGATTTATTGCTTTATTGTCTGGTGCCTGGCCATGCTTCCCCTGCGGGCCTCTGCAGCTTCTGTTTACGCAGTGTGGCTTTCGAGCGGTCGTAAAGCAATTAGCGGAATTACACAGCGTCTGTGTCGAAAGGGCAGTAAATAAGTCCAGACGTTTCTTCTATCCTAATATCTCTTTATTGGAAACAAAATAGCGTATTTACAAACTCCAACTTCCATCTGATTCAAGCTGCATTTTCTCTGCCTCCTCTCTCTCTCTCCTTGCAGCGGCTGAAACAACCTGCTTTCGATTTTCACTCAGCTCACGGCATTCCAAGCTGCTTTCGTCACGTCCTGGATCACTTCCCTTGTAAGCCCGTCCCCTCAGTGCCGAGGCACAGAAGGTTAACCCTTCACTACACCCAACAGTAACAATGTAAGCAATCGAGAATTTACAGACATTTATAGACCAAGTCCACACAGGATTAAAGTGTAATATTTGTTGAATGGTTTCTTTAAATGTAAAGGTTCATCATTGTTCCACCCAATGTGTATGACTTTAAGGGGCCAGAGCAAGGGCTAGGCCAAATAACGAGACCCAGTCTTACAGCTGTGAAACATAGCAGGTGCTGCTGAGTTGTGTTAATCAAGCTTTGTCAGCAATTGAGCGTAGTATATAAGGGGCAAGGGGACACAGGTGGCGCTGTGGGTAAAAGCCTCAGCGCCTAGGGCTTACCGATCATAAGGTCGGCGGTTCGAATCCCCACGGCGGGGTGCGCTCCCGTCGTTCGGTCCCAGTGCCTGCCAACCTAGCAGTTCGAAAGCACCCCCGGGTGCAAGTAGATAAATAGGGACCGCTTACTAGCGGGAAGGTAAACGGCATTCCGTGTGTGGCTCTGGCTCGCCAGAGCAGCGATGTCACGCTGGCCACGTGACCCGGAAGTGTCTCCGGACAGCGCTGGCCCCCGGCCTCTTGAGTGAGATGGGCGCACAACCCTAGAGTCTGTCAAGACTGGCCCGTACGGGCAGTGGTACCTTTACCTTTACCTATATAAGGGGCAGCACCTAGCTCTCTTATTACCCTGGGGGATGGGTTGGTGGTTGGGTCATGTTTGTTGTTGATGTATTTAGTGTAAAAGGAGTTTTTGTTATTAAAACCTTGTTTAAGTTATTTTTGAGTCCCTTTTTAATGCATGGTCTCCCCAGCAAGCTCTCTGCAGCGCTACTATACTGCAAATAGCCAACAGTATTTTGTCTCAAACTGCCCCACTGAACAAGCTTATATTAGCTGACGAAAACCCTCTCCCATGCCCACACTTTTAAGCAGTTTGCCATTGCTTCTTTTTATCTAAATTGTATATAAAAACAGGAGGAGGTCTGTGGCAATTTAAAGACTTAACTGTATTTATTTGTAAAGGGAGTAAGATTTGCTAGGGCATACTTCCTCAGATGCAGAATGGGTGGCAACAACAACAACATAGTATTGTTGCTGTTGTTTTGTCATTTGGGAGTGTCTGGCACTTCGTGAGGCCAGAGCACGCCAGGCATTTCTGTCTTCCACTGCCCCCCTCAGTTTGGTCAGACTCATTTTGGTGGCTTCGAGAACACTATCCAACCATCTCATCCTCTGTCATCCCCTTCTCCTTGTGCCCTCCATCTTTCCCAACATCAGGGTCTTTTCCAGGGAGTCTTCTCTTCTCATGAAGTGGCCAAAGTATTGGAGCCTCAGCTTCACAATCTGTCCTTCCAGTGAGCGCTCAGGGCTCCATTTCCTTAAGAATGGATCGGTTTGATCTTCTTGCAGTCCATGGGACTCTCAAGAGTCATGAAGAGTCAGACACAGCTAAACGACTAAACAACAACAACAACAACAGTGGTACCTCAGGTTAAGTACTTAATTCATTCTGGAGGTCCGTTCTTAACCTGAAACTATTCTTAAGCTAAGCATCACTTTAGCTAATGGGGCCTTCTGCTGCTGCCGCGCCGCTGGAGCACAATTTCTGTTCTAATCCTGAAGCAAACTTCTTAACCCGAGGTAACATTTCTGGGTTAGCGGAGTCTGTAACCTGAAGTGTCTGTAACCCAAGGTACAGTGCTTTTTTCTGGAGGGACGCAGGGGTATGCATACCCCTAAACATTTTGTGAATCTAACGGGAGACGAAACTAAAAAAATTAAAATATTTAATTTCTTCTCAGCGTGGTGAAGCGGCAGTTCCGTTGCTACCCCTGATGGCAGCCTTTGGTCCATTTACTGCATTTATTTTTCCCAATTTGAACTATAAAATGGTGATTTTCTTGATTCAAAATGAGAGTACACCTACACTATACTGCTTAACTCTACGTGGGGCTACCTTTGAAGGTGACTCGGAAACTACAATTAATCCAGAATGCGGCAGCTAGACTGGTGACTGGGGGCAGCCGCCGAGACCATATAACACCGGTCTTGAAAGACCTGCATTGGCTCCCAGTACGTTTCCGAGCACAATTCAAAGTGTTGGTGCTGACCTTTAAAGCCCTAAACGGCCTCGGTCCAGTATACCTGAAGGAGCGTCTCCACCCCCATCATTCTGCCCGGACGCTGAGGTCCAGCGCCGAGGGCCTTCTGGCGGTTCCCTCATTGCGAGAAGCAAAGCTACAGGGAACCAGGCAGAGGGCCTTCTCGGTAGTGGCGCCCGCCCTGTGGAACGCCCTTCCAGCAGATGTCAAAGCGATAAACAACTACCTAACATTCAGAAGACATCTTAAGGCAGCCCTGTTCAGGGAAGTTTTTAACATGTGATTTTACTGTATTTTTGGTTTTTATGGAAGCCGCCCAGAGTGGCTGGGGAGGCCCAGCCAGATGGGCGGGGTATAAATAATAAATTATTATTATTATTATTATAATATTGATATCTTAGATTGCTGTAACCTGCCATGGGACGTTATGGTGCAAAGCAGGGAAGAATTCAATATATAGTGGTACCTCGGGTTAAGAGCTTAATTCGTTCTGAAGGTTTGTTCTGTTAGGGAACTGGAGACAGAGAAGGAGGAGGGAATGGGAAGTTATCGGGAGAGACCTCCTTTGATTAGCAGTTGTTCGTCTTCAGAGGAGAGAGAAGACGAAGGGGGGTCCGGGGGGAGTGATTCTGAGAGGGAGGAAGGAAGAACTTCCGAGGGCAAGTACCTCTCGTCAGAGAGGAAAGAGGGAGGTTGGGCTTTGACGTTTATGAACTGAACTTGTGGTTTATGAACTGAACCACAAGTTCAAATAAGTTTATGCAAACTGAACTGACAAGTCAGTTTGAAAGAGAATTTAACATTGGTATAAGGGAGATATTATCCCAGCTAATTACAGTAATTTTATGGATGTCTATAACGTGTTCCAGGAGTATGTTTAAGCTGTGAATCACTGTAAAAAGGCCAGCTAATATACACAATGGGATATTTACTCTCTTCTTTTTGACATTGTTTTTTTGAAATGCTTGAGGATATGATCACTCCTGTTTTAGGAGCTACCCCTTAAAAGGGGACCTCTCAATACTTTAAATAAATAACTTGGCAGGCTTCCAGCATCTGCATGCTCCCCTCTTGTACTAAATATGATTTCCAGAGGTGGATGGAATTGGGCTAAATGAAAACAAGAAGTTAATGTTTTGTGTCACCATGTACACTAGTGACCATGGTTTTGTTCCCACTATGACACATTGTTTCGATGATGGTGTGTCTTGTCAATACACAAGCACTTCCAGGTTTATGTCTCCAAAATCTATCTTGGTGTGTCTTGTCCACATTAGTGGGTAGTGCTAGAGGGGATTGTTGGGGGAAAGCAAATAAACTTCCTTCTCCCGAACCTCTAGCTAATGCATGTATTACTTTAAACCACACAAGAGCACTGTTTGTGCAGCAAGCAAGCCAGCATTTGCTCGTAGTCTTTTTCTAAGTTAACTCCACCTATAAAAGCTGAACCATTTTGTTGTTCTCTCCTGATAAGATGCCTGCTATTGCTCTCTTTTTACCTCTACTCATCCTGTAAATCGTACTTGCCAAGATAATTCTGTTCCTGCATGAATAAAGCTGTAGAAATCCAGAAACTGTACATAAACCTCTCAGTTTACTTCACCCAAGCTTCAAGGTATGCTAACAGGGATGTATTTTGCTGAGGCTGAGCTCCATTATGGACCTGCCTTCAAGTTTATTTCAATTTCATTTCACATTTGTGGGCATCTGAGGTGCAAGACACCTCCAGCCAAGCACTCAACACAAGAAGCTCTCCTGCAGGAACCTGGTCCTGAAAGCACCTTAGAAGCAGAACCATTTGCCTCAAGGCTACATTACAATGTTTGGCAGGGGAAAAAACTGACCCCTGGTTGTCTTACATCACAGACCTTGTGCGCAGTAATGCCGTTATCATTGCCTTACTAATCAATGAAGAAAAAGGATACAGACTTAAGTTCAGAGAAGTTCATTTCTTGATTATACAACCTTATCTACTTAATGGCTAATCTCATTTACTCAGAGAAACCTAGAATTCCTATTGGTGAAAGTCCATGTCTATGTGACCTCCTCAGAGTATATAAAATTGGAAAGCAAATTAATTCGTCTAGAGTCATTTCAGTCACTGTTAGCTGGTGCCATGGAGCCTCTAGGGACAGTGACCATTTTGATGATCATATGTATCTCTTGCCTTGTTTTCCTCGCAGTCAGGAGCAGAACGCCAGAGAATGCAAAGCAGCTGCCACCTGGCCCACCTCCACTGCCCATTGTAGGGAATGCTCTGCAGCTGAAGACCAACAACCTGGCCCAGGTTCTCCAGGAGGTAAGCCAAAGATGAGCACCTTCCTCAACAGCTGTCTGTTGATGACCGTTACCTGTTTGCAAGCCTCTTTCCATCTGACTCTTTTGGAAGGGGACAATCCATTGTCAGTTTGTTTATTTATAGATGGTACCATATGGGTGCAGGGCACATTTGCAGAGTATAAGGCAACAGACTCTGCACTTTGACAGAGGAGAGGCAAGAGAGGGAGGGGAGGCATCCAGACCAGAAGAAAAGAATAGCAGAATCGCTGTGATTTCCGTGGCACGGACTTGCGCTTGGCTACATCAGCAGGGATGGGGAGCAGGGACTTGTCGCAAAGGCTCCACAGAAAAGAGCAGGTCCCACAACTCCACAAAGGGGGTTGTTTTATTGTCATTTTATTGTTTTATCCTTAAAATAAATGGCATAAAGCCCCCTTCTGAGTAATGAATTTTAAAAAGGAATAGTAAAATTTTCATACTATATTAGACATGGGGCGGGTGCGGGTCCAATTCTCCCTCCACACATGGATGGTTTGGGCATTTTTGCCCTCTGAACATTTTTAGCCTCTGCTGGACAGTGTGGAGTTCATAGTCTTCTTGTAGTTTGAAAAGCTGCTCCTTTATTTTCCCCAGAATGTGCTTGGATGGAAGATACTGTTAAGAATTCCCTTAGAAAAATGAGTGTGAGGGAGACATAACAGAGTAGTATAATCATATTCACGGTATAGAGAAAGTAGACGGGAAAACACTTTTACCCCCCTCTCATAATGCCATACCCTCCCACATTTCTCCAATGAAAAGAGGAACATCCCATTCCATAACGATTTTACTATAGCCCACACACTTTACTGGGTTGCCCCAGCCACTCTGGGCAACATCCAACATATATAAAAACATAATGAAAACATGAGAAATTAAACAAAAAAACACTTCCCTATTCAGGATTGCCTTCAGAGGGGGTCGGATAACTCTATACCCTCCAACATTTCTCCAGTGAAAATAGGGACAGCCTAAGGACATTCTGTGATCAAACTGGGATGGCTTCTCTAAATCAGGGATGTCCCTGGAAAATAGGGACACTTGAAGGGTCTGTAATGCTAAAACTTGGAGTCTTCAATTAAAGCTGAGTGTTGGAAGATTTACAACACACGCAAGATAGTTTTTCATACAGTACATATTGAAACTGTGGAATTCACTGTGGAATTTTGATAAGACAAAACTCATTGAAGATAAAGCTACCCATAGCTGCTAGCGATGATGCTGAACCTCCACCAGTTCCAGGGACCTGCAGGAGGGGAGCGTGCTATTGCACTCAGGTCTTGTTTTTGAGCTTCCCAGAAGAACTGTGTTGGCCACTGTGATAACAGTCGTGGACTAGTTGGCCTTCAGCCTGATCTAGCTGCAGAGCTCTTCTGTATGTTATTAAGTGTCATGTGGTTCAGATGCCCATAGTGAGTCTGGGGCAGTGGGGCTCTCCATCAGCTATATGATTCTCTCCTAACCCGCAAACCCACCTAGATGTGTGTCCTTCTCTATCTTTTTTTCCAGTTTGGTGAGAAGTATGGCTCTGTGTTCACAATGTATTTTGGAACAGAACGGGTTGTGGTGCTGCATGGCTATGATGCAGTGAAAGAAGCACTGATCGACCGTGGAGATGAATTTGCTGCTAGGGGACGCCTGCCATTAGCTCATGATGTCAACAAGGGATTAGGTATTTTATGCTGGTTGACCAATGGAGGGGGGGCACAGGAAAATCCCTCTATTCATGAAAATAAAGCAAGAAAGGTTGCAAAGACAAGTCATTGCATCTTGAGATAAACATTCCTAATTAATGTTCACAATGGACAGTAGCAATAGATAATTAGCAGCCTTTTAATGGCATAGCTATATATTGGGCATTGCCATTTAAGAGAGAAATGAGCCACCTCATAAAAGTACTTAAGCAATATCTAGGGCAGTAGCAGAGAAAGGTGGGTGTGGTGGGTGTGGGCCGCCCTGGGTGCAATCCCTGAGGGGAGTGACATCGCCACAGGTGGCGCCCCCCCCCCTGGGATGTGCGTTGCCGCCGGCACCCCCGGGACGCTCCCCGTTGCCACACGCCGCCTTACACCCACGGGTAAGAACTATTGCTTCTTCATTATACTGGCAGCTTCAGAGAGAGACCCAGGCATAACATAAATATCGAAATATTGAAACCTCTTTTTAAGTTTTAGCTGCAAAAATGGACATTCTGCAGATGCAAACCTCCGCTACGTTTCATACACAACAAACACAAACATAGCATTTTATGCACATTAAACACATATATTTTACAGTCAGGGCATGTATCAGAAGACTGGCCAGCTACTGATTCTGGAATAAGAAGGCACCAAAGTACCAAGTCTCCAGGTGTTCTGGAGCCAAGAATAAGAGCCTCCTGCTCTCTCTTTCAGTCCATCCATCTCCTTTATGCCCATTTCCTCTTCTGCTTTCCAGGAATTATATTCAGCAATGGGGAGATGTGGAAGCAGCTCCGACGTTTTATCCTTACCACCCTGCGCAACTTTGGCATGGGAAAGAAAAGTATTGAGGAGAGGATCCAGGAGGAAGCACAGTTCCTGCTGGAAAAGTTCCAGGACACGCAGGGTGGGTAGCCACTGCCCTTCAGAGACATAGGCTTATCAAGCAGACCCCCTTAAACGTCACAACAGATTCTGGGGTACATTACAACAGATTATTAACCACCACCTGGTCCTAGGTCACTGAGGGCTTCATACACACCAGTAATGCACTGAACTTACCTTGTCAATGTACTGGCAAACAATGCATAGCTTTCAGCAGGGGTGTAATATGCTGACACAGACTAGTTCCAACTAAAGCCTGGCTGCTGCTTCTCTATCAACTGCAAGAGTGCTCCGCATATATTGTTGAATTCCAGCTGCTTTCAGCCCCAACAGTCATCAGTGGTTCAGAAGTTAGAGTCTAGCAGCATCTGAAGTGCTTTAGATTCCCTAGTTTTAGTCTAGAGTTCACCAAGGCCTGCACCACTGTGGTCACTCTTTCCAATCTAAGGATATATTGGCTGAAGCTGGAGGAAAGCACCTTGGAAAGTCCTTGGAAGAAACCACTCATAGCCACTGAAGATGCCCATGCCTCCAGAATTGTGAGAAAGGCAGCTCCCTGTCTGACCACTGAGGCCAGGAGCCAGGAAATGGCAGCTCAGAAATTCCAGACTAGATTATTGCCCAAAACCTGTAATGGGTATAATTATTTTTTCTTGTTCTTCCAGAGAAGCCCTTGGATCCAACCTTCTCACTCAGTTGCGCCATCTCCAATGTCATTTGTGCAATTATCTTTGGGAAACGATACGATTATAATGACAAGAAGTTGCTATCCATGCTAAGCTTAATAAGTGAAAACTTTCAGCTTTTTAGCTCTCCTTGGGGACAGGTAGGTGCCATCTGGTTAAATGCATTCTTTTCCACAAAGTCTAAAGTTTACTTGCATGTGGAATATTTATTTTATGTAGATACTGCCTCTGGCTGTGGCCATTTTCCTGCTGTTTAAATGTCATTCTTCCAGGCTTCTCATGGCCCATACTGCCTCTGCCTCTTAATATTTCTGTTAATGTCCTAGTTGTAGGCTTGCCAGGGGTAACTGGTTAGCCACTGTGACAGCACGATGGGCCACTGGCCTGATTCAATAGGCTCTTCTTATGTTCTTATGTTTTTAATTTGGAGATCCAGTCAAGGCACACAATGCACCTGGGTCTAGTAACCAAGGTTTGACTTAACAGCAGCCCAGTGGAGCAGGAAGTAAAGCTTAACCAGTAAAACCCACAGGCTCAAGTTTATAACTGGAACTAATCACTTGGGATGTATATACACTGCCATTGCCTCTGCATCCAGTGTGCTTCCACTACTGGTTTGAGAAGGTGTGAATACATGACGTTAGCCACAATCCATGTCTATCCTGCCTTGCTACATTTTAAGCCAACGATGTGTACACAGCCTGGTTCCAACAGGAGCAGCAGATGAGACTAAATTTAGAGATATATATGTAACCCCATAGTTCAGCTTTACACCATTTGGCTTATTTATATAGGGTCCAAGAGTCAATTCCTAGTAGCATCCCTAGTTAGGAATGGGACTCCTGAATGATACCCAGCAGAGCAGCTCCATAGGCACTACTGACCTTGAGAGGTCAATGGTCTCATTCAGTATATACCTTTTAACATGCGGAGTTTGGTGGAGGGGGGGGGAAATGGGTTATTGTTTTTATTTTGATTATGCATTTTGTGGTTTTATATTTTGATTTTAGTCTGTGAACCACCCTGAGACCTGTGGGTATAAATTGAATAAATGATAATAATAATAATAAATAATAATAATAATAATAATAATAATAATAATAATAATAATAATAATATAAGACAGCTTCCTACCCAGCTGTTGCGGTTTTGGCTGTGGGGGTGGGGGGAATGTTGCATGATTTTTCAGATTTTTCTAAAGGTACACATAGGTGAAAATAAAAAATAATAATCTGCGTATGACCTCTACAAACATTAGGTAGAGGGTGGGAAAGCACTAACTGTGGGGAAGGGAAGATAATACAATGCAGTACAATCAATGAAGCACCACCCAGTAATGCAGATGGGGAACATCTACATAGATTTGGGAGGCATTGGTAGTGAAAATGCTGGTGTGTGGACCACAGAGTTGAAATGCACACAAGGCAATAGTGGCCAACGTTATACTGAAGCCCGAGTGTGGACAAACCCTGACTGAGGTTGGTGCCAATGGGTCTCTTGTGGTGTTTCTTCTAGCTCTACAACGTCTTCCCTTCTTTGATGAAATGCATCCCTGGGCCCCACCACAAAGTGCTGAAAAACAACTTGGCAATCAGAGAGTTTGTTTTGGAGGAGGTTGAAGAGCACAAGCCCACTCTGGACCCCAGCTCACCTCGGGATTTTATCGACTGCTACCTTATGAAAATGGATCAGGTAATCATGAAAACTCACAGAACTCTCCACGTGGGTTCTCCTGCCACTCCTGAAGCTTCCCAACCAGCAGACTTCCATCCAGCTTCTTGTGGGGAATGCCAAGGAAAGAGATTCCTGCCCACACCCCATTGGAGTAGATTCATTTCCCATTGCTGACTTGTTCCTGCAGTAAGTGGGAAGTTCTTTCTAATGATTAGCCCTCTGGGCAAGGAATGTCCAGAGGAACGAGCTATAAAAAGCCTTGAGATAAGATGTGTCTTGGGAAGGGAGCTGGTCCCAGTGGCACAGTTAAATTCTTGTTATGTTGTACTCAGAACAATTGAGTTGACTCCACTGACTGTGTTGTGTGTTTCTGCAGGAAAAAGGTAATAGTGCATCCCATTTCACCATTGAAAACTTGGCCATAAGCACAGTTGACTTGTTTGGGGCTGGAACAGAGACCACCAGCACCACACTGCGATACGGGTTCATGATCCTCCTCAAATACCCAGAGATACAAGGTAAAACAGATGTGTTATTAGTACTTATTATTCTAGTTCTTTTCCAGATTTATGTATCACAGGTCCAAGAAGTGGTTGTTCTGCCACTTTCCCCAGGAAAACCCACTGTTCATCGCTGAATGTTAATCATCGCTGACTGACATCAGCAGTAGACAGAAGGCTTTCCTGGAGACAACAGTGGGGGTGGGGGGTGGACAAAATGCTCAGATCCATGCCTAGTAACCACAGACCTGTGCCTAGAAATCCCAGCAAAAACAGAAGTGTGGATGAGCTCTTATAGCTGACCATATTGCAAACCCTGGGATTTATATGCAAACAGTAACAACTTGAATTTGGCTCAGTAGTGTACTGGCAGCCAGTGCAGATCCTTTAGACCAAGCATGTCCAAAGTCCATTTTGGGGACCTAATCCGGCCTGCTGCCCCAGTGGCAGTTTATTTCCTGGGGTAAAATCCTAAAAAAAAAGGTCCATGACTTTGGTTGGCCCTTTGGTCGGCCCCTTTACTTCATCCAATCTGGCCCTCTTTGAAAAAAGTCTGGACACCACTGCTTTAGACAAAGACACAACCACAAGGTCCAGGGGCCAAAGGGCCCTCAGGTAGGATCAGAATCACTGCAGGACAGTGCCTCCAATAGGAATCTCTCTAAGCTGGACCATCACTTGCTCCTGTAACAACCCTAAAGCTTTTGTCCCGCTGGGCTCCTTTTGGATAGAAATTAAATTAATATATAAATAATTGCAGTTATTATGTTTCCCTGTTTACAGATGGATTGCTGAAGGTGAGCTACAATAACTTGCCTGTGGTGACGAGTTAGTAGAAAGTTGGCATCAGAAAACAATTGAAAGCTCCAAAATGTGCAGAGCCTTGCAACCATTCCCACCGAGTTTCAGTTTCTTCTGTAATGTTTCCTGCACTGGTGTTAAACCTCATTCTTCCCATTGCAGAGAAAGTGCATGAAGAAATTGACCGAGTTATTGGCCGATCACGAAGTCCTTGCATAGCAGATCGTGGGGAAATGCCTTACACAGATGCTGTCATCCATGAGATCCAGAGGTTCATCTCTATTGCCCCACTGAGCGCCCCTCATGCAGTACTCAAAGACACACCGTTCAGACAATATGTCATTCCAAAGGTCAGCGCTTTTCAAGGCTCTTAATAGTAGACTGATAGCCATGATGGCTATATTCTACCTCCATGGTGAGAGGCCGCATGCTTCTGAATACCAGTGGGTGGAAACCGCAGGTATTGAGAGTGCTGTCTTGTTTAGATTATGTTTAAGGGCTTCCCATGGGCATTTGGTTGGACACCATGAAAACAGGATGCTGGACCAGATGGGGCCACTGGACTGATCCAGCAGAGCTTTTCTTCTCTTCTTATGTACAAGTAACGGAAGTAGTTTAGCCCAACTCCTAAAGTGTAGCTGGGCATCTTCAGGCCTGGACTTCATTTGAAACACCCTATTGCCTTCTGAAGCTGCTCCATTCTTCTTCTGAATCAACAAAGTACCTTCCTTCCTGTTATTGCCTTCCCACACCATTCCTTTGGGTGTCATGGCCATCCAGCCCATTTCTTTGCGCACTCTGCAGGGCACTACCATATATCCAAGTCTGACATCTGTGCTACATGACAGCAAAGAATTTCCAAACCCCAAAGAATTTGACCCAGGACATTTCTTGCACAAAGATGGCACCTTCAGGAAGAGCGACTATTTCATGCCTTTCTCAGCAGGTAAGATCTCTGCTTCCTCAGTACGCTGCAGTCTTGGCCAGCTCAGGTCTTTCCCGTCTCCCTAATTGGCTGGTCTCGGGGCAATGAGGGGGAACTTCCGTCCTCCTGCAGCCTAAACTGGAAGGGCTGCCAGTTTGTGAGGGAAGGGCAGAGGCTTCTGGGTCCATCAGAACTCCTTGCACCTTTCCTGTGGCCAGCTGAAGCAAAAGAAATGGTGGAAAGAGTGACTCTCCCAGGAGCTGTTCTGGAGCAGCACCTCTGCTCCTTTGGCATGATTGTTATTTTCTCCGTAACAGCCAAAGTGGTTGTTATGCATCTTACACTTTGGGATTCCTTTGCAGGGAAGCGGATATGTGTGGGGGAAGGTCTGGCCCGTATGGAGATCTTCTTGTTCTTGACCACCATATTACAGAACTTCACTCTGAAGTCCATCATTGACCCCAAGGACATCGATCTCACACCGGTGTTGAGCGGCATAAGCAACTTCCCTCGACCCTATCAGCTCTGCATTGTCCCTCGCTGAAAAGCCTGCCTCAGGAGGGCTGCACATGTGGAAAAGTTGCAGCCTGGCAAATCTTTGTTCAAAAAATCCGTAACACAATATCTCCTCATGTGTGGAGTCTTATATTTTTACCTGACTAGTTGTGGTACTGTTACTTTGGGGATCTTGCTAGAGACTATTGCACATTGAAGACATTTTTTAAAAAAATTCATCTCTTTATTGATTAAAAAAATTGCATGTCTATGCAGACATTATGTACTATCTCTTAACAGGTAAAAAAAAGAAAATTATATAAAATTTATAAAGAAATAAAAAATAAAAATAAAGAAGTAACAAAGATAAGAAATAAAGAAATCAAAAAAAGAAGAAGACAGAGTTATTTATATAGTAAAAGTACTCATTGGCACGATCCTTCCCATCCTTCTCATTATACTGTTTGAACTGATACCAAGATGGCGTCGTCGTTAGTAGTAGCGTCGACTTGAACTCCGCATCAGTTGATGCTGTTTTTATTATTTTTATCAGTTTCTACTAGCTTTTTTATCAGTTTTTATTAGCTTTTATCAGCCTCAGTGTTTTATTTTTGTTAGTTGGCAGCTATTAATTTACAAAGCTTAGGTCAAGGGCCTGAGTTACAGAAAGTCTGGAAAGCTCCGGAGAAGGCCCTAATTAGCTCCAGCTCAGCAGGAGTGGAGATTAGACGCCCTATCGTGGGTAGACGCCGAGCTTCCTGATCTACAGCAGAAGCTGCTCTGATTTACAGCGGCTCTATCCCTGGAAAATGCCTAGGAAAAAGAAACGACCGGCCTCATCTCCAGAAGGGAGCCCACAGAAGAGCAAGCAGAGCAAAATGGACGATTTTGTAAAAGCACAGAACTCAGAACCTACCACACCAAACAGAACTCATTCCCAGGTAGGTGGGGATGCTTTAATGGGCGGAGATCACCCATGGGAGAATGCTGAGATGAGCGCTCATGAATTATCCCATGAACTACCATCTGAGGGGGCACCGCTCTATGCAGAAATACTTGCGGACCACTGTCTGCTGACTGCAAGAACAGTGGAGGAAATTAACATCAAATTAGAAAAGGTAACATCTCTCCTGACGGAGTTGGTGCTCCTGACAGCCAAAAATAGCCAACTCAGTGCTAAAGAGACCGACCATAGCGTTGCCCTCCCTCTAGACCATCATGTACAGGGGTGCAACCAGTCTGGGCTTGATAACCGAGAGACTACAAATACTAAAAACAACAAAAGCGAAAGTAGGGACCTGATCCTACAAAGTACTCAAGTAGCTCTGGATATATATCCTTTTAATGGTATGCTGCCTTACTGGAAATCAATCACCAGTGTGAAGAGAAACTTTAAGCTTTTACTAAATATCCATTGCAACACTCTGATCGCGATAAACTTGCTTTGCACGGACCCCCAGCACACTAGACTCACGCTGACATTTTCTGACTCAGCTACCCCTAAAATGCTACTGAAATATAGGGCCATTTTACAGGACTATAATATTGTTTTGAGGCGTGTTTTTAAAGACACAGAACGAAAACAACTACTGCCAAACTTGTCATATAGCCGGACCAACCCCAAGCAATCAGCACCCTCTCTGCCGAAGGGCTTTCGCCACAGGGCCATGATTCATTCGGAAGGGCCGTCAAAGATGAATATGTGTGGTGAACCCAGCTGCAACACTCACTTGGAGAGGAAAACATCAGACCAAAAAGGTCAAACACACAAAGAACGCCAGCCCAATCTAGATAATTCAAAGATAGGACTCTCTATTACGCCTTTGGCAGATCCAGAATTTCACCACCCTCTACCCCAACTGGAATCTGATCAGCCAATGCCAAGTGACGACCCTCCCAAGGGAAATGGGACACATAGAAAGCCAGAGACAGATTTAATTATCTTTGACGAAGACCCCCCGATGGCACCAGCAATCCAAATAACACCGTCGATGCCGGGAAATCGGGAAAATGCTGCAAATCAACCCCGAGAACAACAACACTGTGTATATCCTAAGAACGGTTGCATCATTACCGAACCAGTCTGAGAGCTGATAACAATTTCCCCACCACAATGAAGCCAAGCCAGTTATGGAACGAGCAGCTTTAACATTATCTCATGGAACATAGCGGGTTGGGCTAACAAACTTGGGGACGAGCCATTTCGTGAATATATAACGGGTTTTGACATAATAATGCTGCAGGAAACTTGGGCAACTGATAACATAGCTCTCGACGGTTACGACGTCTATGAAATCAAGGCCTCTAAACTGCTTGGAAGGGGACGACCGAGGGGGGGCCTAGTAACTCTTGTTTCCACTCAATTGGCGTCACAAGTTATTGAGTGCTCAGTTTTCGAGCAGCTGGCACTGGGGATCACTTTGCATATGGAATCCAAGAGTATCATTCTTGTTTCAGTGTATATTCCACCATATACAGTGCAAACACAGATAGAGAGCACGTGGCGTAAAATCCATAGTTTCCTTTATTCCCTACAAATTAGGTACCCTGGCTCGCCATTTTACCTAATGGGAGATATGAATGCCAGAATAGGCTCAAATGATGATAGCCTGGAAATAAAATTCCCAATATTAAGAGATCTAAAGGAAAATAGCACCCTCTTTCTAAACCCACCCCCACGTAGACATTCGAAAGATTGCCAAATCAACTATGCTGGATTCTGCCTGGCTTTTTTACAAATAAGTCTTGATCTGATCATTGCTAATGGGGCATTCCCCGGGGACAGAGAAGGCGAGTACACATTCATAAATTCAAATGGGGCCAGCACAGTAGACTACTGTCTCACTAACAGACAGGCCTTCGAATCAATTAAAAAATTCACAATAGATAATAGGACTGAAAGTGACCACTTACCTCTTATCATCTCCACTACTGGCCAAAATTCAATTCAGCACTCTCACATAGAACATGAGGATATAGACAAAGCAAATGATCCAGCATTGCGTAGGAAAAAATGGACACCTGAGATAGCAATTGCAGTTGAGAATAGATTGAATTCACAAACTGCAATTAAGTTAAGATCAATTATAATAAACAATTTATCAATAGACTCCTCCCTGACAGCTTATGAAAATCTCATTGAGTCCTTGCAGGATGTGGTCTCGGTTAACATAAACTCAGCCGGCAAGCCACGCACTGCTAAAGGGCGCAGTTGGTTTGACCAAGAGTGCCACACAAAGAAGGAAGCCTTAAGGAACGCCTATTTGGCCTATAGAAACGCTGGATTAAGCTACTTACCTCAATCTTATTTCAAAATCAAAAAAGAGTACAAAGCCCTTTTGGCCTCAAAAAAAAGGCAGTCCGAACAAAATTCCTGGTCCCTACTATTGAATGCCTCACTAAACAATGAAACTAAACTCTTTTGGCAACTGGTCTCCGACTCAATAAAAATAGTTCCTCAGCCCCCAGCTGTGTCATTCCAGCTCAGGTTTGGGAGAACCACTTCAGAAATATATTTATGGAAAATCCAAACCTCCCTTCCAGTTTACAGGAGGATGACAGGGCACAATTGTCACTGCTCCCTAATTGGAGGCCGGTTACTGTGGAGGAAGTCCATACATTAATTGGGAATCTGAAGAGTGGAAAGGCTCCGGGGAAAGACTTTATCCCAGCTGAGTTGATTACATCAAACCAGCACTGGTGGGCTCCGCTTCTGGCAGCACTCTTTACGGTAGTAAATAACTCTGGTAAGGTACCATATAGCTGGAAACATGCTATAGTAGTTCCAATCTTTAAGAGAGGCCACCCAAATGTACCTTCCAATTATAGGCCTATTAGCCTGCTCTCAATAATTGGGAAACTGTATGCCCATTTCCTCAGTAGCAAATTGACAACTTTTCTAAATGAACATAATATACTATCTGAAGCCCAGGCAGCTTTTCGTGAGAATCATTCAACAACAGACCACTGTCTAATGCTGTCCTTCCTAGCTGAGAAGTATACCAGACATCTACAGGGTAAACTCTTCGTGGCCTTTATGGACCTGAAATCAGCATTTGACTCCATCCCCAGATCCCAGCTATGGTCCAAATTGAGTCTGATTTTGCAGGACAAACGACTTCTCTTTCTTATAAAAGCCCTGTACAATGGAACCAAACTGCAGGTCCGATGCGGTCGACAGGGACAGCTATCGAACAGCATCGAGATGACTAGGGGGGTGAGACAGGGTTGTATTTTGGCCCCCACATTGTTTTGTCTATTCTTAAATGACCTAGAAGAGAACTTAATGGACCCAGATGGACACATTCCAAAAATAGGAATGAGAAGGACCCCTTTGTTGTTGTATGCTGATGACGCAGCCATCATCTCGCGTTCCAGGCCGGGCTTGAATTATCTGTTGAGGAAATTTTCTGATTACTGTTCTGGAAATGGTTTATCCATTAATTATGAAAAATCTAAAATCTTAGTCTTCGAAAGAAGATTCTCCCAGTCTAAATGGGTGCTGGATGGCCATAACCTCGAACAGGTAAAATACTTCAGTTACCTAGGGCTCACATTCCATCATACAGGATCTTGGAAGCACCATTGGCAAACCTCCCTTCAAAAGGCGGAGATTACAAAGCTAGCCATACATAGATTCTTCTTCACAAAGGGCGGCAAATATGTTCCAGCAGCCTTAAGGGTTTTCAACGCAAAGCCCGTTTCCCAACTCCTGTATGCAGCAAATGTCTGGCATAATGGGGACCTGCCAAAGCTAGATGGCTTTCAGGCAAAATTTATACGATCTCTGCTGCAGGTACCTAACTGCGTCCCCAACTCCGTACTTCTGTTGGAAGCTGGTGAATGCCCAATTTCAGCTAGAGCGTGGTGGGCTGCCCTAAGACATTGGCTCAGGATTTCAGTGTTTAATCTAGGGAAGGGTCTGTACCAACATTTGACCAATGAGGAATTTGTCAGCAAATGGCAGAAAACCATGGCTAAAAAAGCCACCTCTATTGGTCTGTCTCCCCCCCAACTGTATTACCTGGGCTATGAAGGCGCCCAAAAGGTTTTAAAGCAAAGATTATGGGACAATGCACACAGTGACTTGCGATCTCGGTCACACGCAGTCTGTAGTCCACTGGCAGCAGGAGTTCAATATGGGTATGTCTTTGAGTTAACATCTTACATCAAAAACCTGACAGTACCTAACTATCGAAGGCTTTTCACCAAGGCCAGACTGAATGTCTTCCCCTCTGCAGTGCTGGATGGTAGGTTGAGAGGAGTTCCCTACCAGGACAGACTTTGCTCGTGTGCTCAAGACATCGATTCCATAAATCATATTTTGTTACATTGTGCGAAGTATGAGCAGGCCAGGGCTGAACTGATACTACCCTTGCTGGTGCCTTTCCCGGGAAAGTCAGAGGCTCACTATGTCAGGTTCCTACTGGAAGACCGGACAAAAGCTAGAACGTTGGCAGTGGCAAAGTTTTTATCGGTGGTTGCAAGAACAAATGAGCCCTATATTCCAAACAAAGTGCTTGATTAACCTGGAGGTAGGCTGTATGAACTCTGTATTGATTTGTAATGTTTTGTTGGTCTCTGGACCGTAATAAAGATTGTTGTTGTTGTTGTTGTTGTTTGATATAACATTATTTCTTACACAGGTTTACATTGTATAATATCATTTCTTTCT